CCTCGCCTCCAGCTCTGTGCGAGCCACCGCCAAACACCCCAAAGGAACCATGCATTTCCAGCCGATAAAACAACAAAACCTGCGAATCAGTTGAGCAAATCTCAAACTAAGAGAGGTCATTCAAAAATCCAAGAGACGGTCAACTTCGGCAAAGTTCCAAAAGGCAGAAGAGAAGTTCGTTCTCATGCAGCTCTCCAGAACACGCTAAATCCTAAAACCTGCTGAATAAGTACCCTTCAGTGATGCATGTAACACGACGTGGCTAGCCATTGATGACTCGATCCACGATTCTTCCCGACAGGTCTTGGCGTGACACTACTCGAGTCACGGCGCTGGGTGAGCCACTCGCCCGTCCCCTACCACTCCCACAAGTCTCTCTGTCCCACCGCTCCTTGCGTAGGAGCGCAGCTTGGCAGACGAATCATCCCAAGATAAACTGTACTTGAATCATCCCACACACCCTGGGGAGAGCACGGGAGATGAGATGAGACAGCTCAGAGACAGGCTCCAACAGGCAGGAGGCTGTATGAGTTCACTGAGATGAGTCGACATCGATTACTGCCGACGATGAGTTCTGACAGCGATGGTTCAGCAGTCAGTGATGTAAGTTGGACGATGAACAGACCTCTACTCAGAACGCCGAGATAGGCGTTCAAACATCAAAGTCTACGCAATGTAACTTGGATACAGATTGCAACGATGTAAACAAGGAAACCGAATTGAACGCTGAACAGGAAACACGATTCATACAGCGTTGCACCGGCACGATGCCGTTGACGTGGACTTTGTTCGGAACATACCACGGTCAGCTGACGAAAATTTCATTTAGCTTAGTCATTGTTCGCAGTAGTGTGAATAAGCGAACACAAATCGAAACATCTGTGGGTCTGATACATGTGACCTAGGAGTTGCGCAATCACGCACGCACGGTACCAATGGCGCCATCTGTTGAGAAAAGCCATCAAATGCGATGTAGTCCCCTGGTCATCTGAGACCTTTCAGTTAAGATCATTCGATGTCAGCTGATCCCTGATACCCACCAACAATCAGCTCCTTGATTGATGGTGGCAGATAAACTATCAAGGCTAAAGCTCTGAGACTCACGTGACTCCCTCCTCTGAGCAACAAATCAGGGTCATCCGCCACTACACAACATGGTCCGGGCCCCGCAGAGCACCTCATCAAGGTCACTGGGCACCAGACCATTGAGCAACAATAGACTGAATAGAGGACATCGTCAAAAGGTCAGACATGGGAATCACGGACCAATGGGTTCTGTCGCTTTACCCTGCAAACCACGATGAACTCTCAACTCACTGCAATGTTCGGCCGATTTGACTCATTCATGCAAAATCGTAAGTGGTTAAGCGTTCTGAGGAATATCATCATGAGAAGTATGCGCATCTGGCTGACCTTATCCTCACTTCTGTATGGAAATATGAAATTGCAAAAATAAATTACTGTATTAAAAATCGAGATATTTCGAGCACAGCTCTTCGTCGGTCGATTGTAATTATTTACACACATAACAGGCACACAATGTCGAATTCGTCTCAAGTTCTTCAGTAATGTCGCAGTAAGAAATTTAAATACACAGATCCCGTGCAAATTGATCACCCTAGTTCCTACCTTGATCACCTTAGTTCCTCAACTCGAGACATCCGGCCATTCAATTCACGATTGAGCGATCAGACCAGGACGGGACGCTGCCATACCTGGACACACTGATAAGCGTGCGACAGGACGGCTCGTACAGCACGGAGCTGTATTTCAAGCCCATGGCGGCACCGATCATTCTGCCGTATGACTCGGCACATGCCAGGTCTACAAAGAAGGCTGTGCTCACATCACAGATCACTAGGGCGATCCGTCTTGGCTCAGACACAGCGGCAAGAAAAAGAGGGCTCGAGAAGATACGTCATCTGTTTGTCAGTAATGGATATCCGATGAAGATGATCAAGGAGTACAGTTGGAGGGAAATGAAGAAACATGAAGAGAGAAGCAGAGACAGAGGAAGAGAACGACGGGAACGGCCAGATCAGCGACAACAGAACAAGAAGAAGCAAGGCACATATATCCGACTGCCCTTCGTTAATGACAAGGTGGCTGCTCAGGTGAAGAAGGTTGCAATCAACTCTGGATTACCAGTGGAGATAGCATGGACCACCAACAACACCCTGAAGAAACGACTGGTCAAGACACGACTGAACCCAGCCCCCTGCCCCTCGGGACGAAGGTGCTGTCATTCATGCCAGGCTACAGTCCAAGTGCACGACCAAAAACGTGGTATATGAACTTACCTGCAGTCACTGCGGCGACACCTACATCGGAGAAACGAGCAGGCCAGTTAGACTCCGCTACAACGAGCATCGGAGGAACGGCATTAACAGAGAAGAGGACACTCCCCTAGGAGAGCATGCGCTGCATAAGCACCCTGAGATGGATCGACGCGACATCTCGGTGACGGCCAAAATCCTGCGTGTATGCAAAGACGAAGCGGATAGAAGAATCGCTGAATCCATCTTCATCCGGGACGCCAGGCCCAAAATTAACGATAACACTACATCATGGCAGCTTCTTCCAAAATAATGTATATAAATGTGTGTGAATTGGTTCTTGAAAGATACCTATATATGTACTGCTAGTTTAACTGGGGAATTATGTTTAGATTTAAGGTAGGAACTAGGGTGATCAATTTGCACGGGATCTGTGTATTTAAATTTCTTACTGCGACATTACTGAAGAACTTGAGACGAATTCGACATTGTGTGCCTGTTATGTGTGTAAATAATTACAATCGACCGACGAAGAGCTGTGCTCGAAATATCTCGATTTTTAATACAGTAATTTATTTTTGCAATTTCATATTTCCATACAGAAGTGAGGATAAGGTCAGCCAGATGCGCATACTTCTCATTCATGCAAACTGAAAGTAGAGACTCAATCATTTAACTTCACGATGCAGTTGCTACTGTACACGAACCCCAACTATAGCCGTCTGTCCTGTCCAGTAACAACCGACAACATTGATATCAACTGCCGGTCCCTGTACAAGAGCAGCTGAGGTTTTCTGTGCGTGCCCTCTGACAGCTTATCGTTGTTTCCTGTGAGGGTGCTGGGACAATTTACTCAGGGTCGCTGTACAGTAGCAACTGCGGGTCCCCGTACCCTGAACTTGACTGCAGACTGGAGCACAGATTGACGTAGACGTCGGCATTATAAACGAGGAGTAATTTCAAAGGAATTAAACCTCAAATGTCAGCAAATAGTGACAAGATAATGATAGATAGCAAAGGGCAACAGTCCAGCACAATGTTTGATATAAATGTAGACACTAGATTATACCCCAAACCTTTCCCAGACCATATTACCAGTCGTTATGTATCCCGAGTAATGCAAAATCGTGTGCTCGGATCACACCTGGACATTCCAGTGAGATGTTTCGACTTGTGCCTGCCAACAAGACACCATCCAGCCCATGCACTGCGTTTGGTGGTCATCCAATACAAGGTGTTGTTTTCCAACTGGCATTCGAGTCATTCACGTAGACGTGGGCACATGAACGTCTAACTTAACGTGAATGGTCGTCTGTCGGGTCAGGGAAGGTCAATCGATCACGACTGATTCACGGCTGTCAGGTCAGGTCAGGTCAGGTCAGGTCAGGTCCGGTCCGGTCCGGTCAGATCACGTCAGTGGTCAGGTCAAGTCCAGTAAAGTCAGGTTCGAGTGGCCACCACAGGGCGAGAAGCGTGCGGTGAAACCGACCATGCTCCCGTCCAGACCCAGTGAGTGTAACAAAACGGAAAAGTGAAGAAAGCAAGGGGGAACTAAGGCGGAGGATAGGCAGTGAACTGAAAAAAGCAGAAATCATATCGTGGTTAAAGTAGTGGTAAAAGTACAAGGAAACAACAAAAAAGTGAAAGGGGAGAGAAAAAAAAACAAGAAAAGCACAAGACAGTCTCAAAGGAGTGACTTGTTTTTGGAAACAGGTAATTTAGAACCTTAAAAACTTCTTGAAGTGAGCGAGCCTCCGATCTAAGAAGGAATAAGTCCGTGGAGTGAGCAGCCGAGCTAGCTGGTGGTGTGTCGAGTGTGAAGTACACATCGGAAACGCGCGTGAAGCGAGGGGAAATTTCACAACGCGCGGTGTTCCTGATATCAGCGGAAGGCGCCCGACGTAGCGAACAGCTGCAACGCTTTCCGGTGAAGCCGCTTGCAGCGATTAAGAAAACATGAAAAAGCAAGAGTCGGGAAGACGCCAAGTCACCAGCCAAGTAACAAAGCAAACAGCACATGATTCACTAATCATACGGTAAAAACGCGAACTGGCGAGGCAGCAGAAGGCTCAGACAAAGAAGGAAGAGAAGAAGAAAAATCAGAAAAAGGGAGATACAAAAGAGAATCAGGAGAGAGACTGTGCCGGGCGGCGTATGCAGCAAGCAGCGAGCGGTGCAGGGGTCGAGGTGAATCGGTGCCCGGAGCTAATCCACAGAGACTGTACTAGCATGTCGTGTACCCTGGTCAAGAGTAGGGTAAGGGGACCCAGGCAGACAGGGAGAGGAAAGGGCTAGGTTCGGTTCCTGACAACCTTCTTATATCTCAAAAGCTGCGGGACAATGCAGTGGCTTACTGGGAATGTTGCTGATATCTTATCAATATCAGGAACTTGAAGGGTCCGTCCAATGAGCTAACACTTTTCATGAACGACCAATTCATCATGACTAGACAGAATAAGAACAATCAAGATACTGTGACCAATATCGTGCAGACAGTGGTCAGCAGTTCAACCAACTGACACTAAAGGATTGGTAAGGAAGGAATCGGTAACCCTCAACTGTGCCGAGTGACAAATGTGGGTAAAGACGGGTGGGGTCGGGGGGGGGGGGGAGGGGGAGGTGATCAGTAACCCAAACCATCGGGCATCGGTAGGCATGTGCTCGCCTACATTCGCCTATACTGAACAGTGTGCAGAGACCCGGCACCGCGCAGCCGCTGCTTACATGATGCCGCCGCCTCGGCCGCCCGCCCGTCGGTCGGTGGTGGGGTGGTGACGTCAGAGGTCACGTGACACACGTCGTCAGTCAGCTGCCACATGATTAGGTGGCTGGCCGTCTCCTGCGCGTCCTCATCTGGGCGACACAGCAGCGCCGGGCGGCGGCCGGTCACCACCCGCCCGAGGGCCAGCCCCTGATCCGGCCCCGGCCGAAAGACACACGCAGAGGCTATGGACCCGGCCCCGGCCGAGCAGAGGCTATGGACCCGACCCCGGCAGACCCGACACACACAAGAGCGGACATCTACACCCTCATTTGGCAGCGCCGCAGCTGTACAAGCGAGCTAAAGCTAGTGAATTTCCAAAGCTCAATCAAAATGGCAACAAGTAAAACGTGACGAACCTTGAATGTTACGGTGACAAGAAACGTGTCAGTGCGCGGCTGCCGTAGCGTAGGGGTAGATGTTCGCCCGTTTCCCAGGCCACGACCAGTAGAAGACACACGCCCACAAACAGAGGGACACGACACACCCCAAAGCAGCCCCAGACTACCTCTAATGGGTCTAGTCTAGAGAAGTCTGATTTTAGCAAGACTGGAGTCCAGAAGGCTGAGCGGTTGCCACACATCACCCCACACAGCGCCTATGGACCGGCGAGGCGGACCGCCCCCGTCTGACGTAACAGAGGGTCTGCTGCAGTGCAAATATAGCAGCACGGTACCTAAAGGAGTGGGGGGAGGCTGTGACGCCCATCGGGTCAATGCCATGTTAGGCAGGAGACAACCGAGAACTCAGCTAGGAACATGGGACGCTGATGTCCACGTTTGGTCAGCCTTAGATGGCCAGGATACCACTGGATTGGAATTCTCTTCTGAATACATCTCAGTCTATTATTGTAGTTTAGTCCCAGGGTTTTAGTCACTACAACCTCGCCCCCGGGGTTAGTAACAGCTCGTCCAGACCCGCGCAGCGCCGTCCCGCCAAACTCTCCACTTTGGAGGCGCCTCCGATTGAGCGACAGCTACCCGCGGGTCCGAACTGCGAGCCACACAGTTAGCAGCGAGCGAGTGAGTCGTGAGCAAAGCTGCGAGCCAGTGCGTCAGACGGGGGCGGCCTGCACACCTGGTGTCGCCCGACGCGGCGCCCCGGCGGGGGCGGGGGCGGGGGCGGGGGCGGGGGCGGCGGACTGACCGATTCGGAAGTCGATGTAACCCTCGCCTCCAGACATGACCAGTAGTGAGCGCGGCTTCTGTTCGGCGGAGGAGGCGGCGGCCGACCCGCCGGCGGTCGAGGCGGTCTGGGAGGCGGAGCTGAGGCCGCCCGAGCCTGCCGGGAGACGTGGAGGTGTCAAAGTGTCGCAAGGAGACAGTGTCACAGCGAGACAAAGTGTCAAAATGTCACAGGGAGGTGTCACAGACAGGTAGAGGTGTCACAGAAGGTGTGTCACGGAGGGAGCGTCACAAGGAGTGGGGATCACGGGAGACGTATTGCATCGGAAGACGTTTCGAGTCAGATGTCGCCTTTTCGTCAAGATGCTCTCAATGCTGCTGCTACTAGTTACCTACCAGTGCTGAGTACCGTGATCAAAGTTCAGGATGAACAGTCGTAAGGATGCCCAGACTTATTTGAAAGATAACGCATCAATTTTGTATGTAAGGTTAACGATCCCTGACATTCGCTCCGAAAAGTAGGCCGATCAGTCATCGGGCGAGTGTCATGACATTTGCCGAGAGTGACGTCAATGCAAAAGGACAAACAAATGACGGGTACAAACCACGCCACAGTGTCATGGTAAACAAAGCCAGAAACAGCACAGCCTTACTATCACAAAGCTGATGCAATGTGCTAACAAAAGGTCACTTTCGTGGCACGGGCCGCCGCTCACATCAGAATACCGGCGAGGGACTCCGTGCGCCCCTCGTCAGGTCAGGTCCGGTCACGTGACAGAGCCGCAGGCTGCCCGGTGCGGCCTCCAGCCAAGGCCCGCACGGGCTCCGGCCACGGGTAGCGGCCGGCAGCGGCGGCCGGCAGCAGCGGACGGTAACCGGCAGCTGGAGGCCGGCAGACGACCACCCTAGACATTACCATGACTTTCACGTAGTTAGTGTATCGACGGAAATTGCGGGATGAGAGCCAGAACAGTATGAAATCACCTAACAAAGTTGGTATAGTGTTCCTCATCGGTGAGCAACTCTGAGATACAATCACTCGTCCAATACAAGTGGCGTAATTCAGCCTCAGCCATCTGCACTCGCATCCCTGACCTACAGCACCACTTCGAACAACGAGGCAGGACCGCCCCATCAACTGGCGTCGCCGGTCACAACCACTGCTGAATCACAAACCACCCTGCGATGATCGGTCCCTGACGCTCCCCTTCCGGAACCCATATCGGGTGCGGATGCTGGTCACCAAGCGTCTTAACCCCTCCCCCTTGGTGAATAACGCTACCCCCGTTGTATCTCGGCCCGCATCCGTCCGACCCTCAAGCGTTCCGTCCCGACTTTCCTCGTCATGAGTGTGTCCCTTGCATCACGAGCTCAGACCCGCATTGGCGTCCCCACTGACTTATCGTGTTCATTGTCCCGGAAAGGACTATCTTGTGGGCAATGCGGGCCGAAACTCTTTATTGCTTCAATTTCGCACTACTTTTACCTAATCAAACACTGAGCACAGCTGATAAGGCATCAATCACTTCGGGCAGCCATCGCAATGACGTTTAAATGCAAAGAGCATTTATTGGTCATATGCCTGCTGAAGCGCATTGCATTCAGCTGGTCTAGTTGTTGTCATTAGCATGTCTTCGCTCCTCTACCGTCCATCCAAAACATGACACATTCCTATCTCCAATCGCTAACGCCTTTCGCAACACCTCTCCACCCTACTTCCACCTCAGTGACCTAAATCTGCGCTATAGTAACCTTGACTCTCGTAGTAACTGACCTAGGACACCGATCGTTCCCCAGTCTGAATCATCCCGCGTCGGGCAGCCCAGTAGCCACCCCTGTGGCCAGTCAGTTGTCCGCGACCGCCACCGCGCGCCTTCGGTTTCAGATGAGTCGAGGGGACGGACCGTGCCGGGCCGGACCGAGCGGAGGTGACGCGATGGTGTATAATCGCTCGTTTCGTTACGTTACATATTACTCATTGGCGTCACAATTTGTGTCCATCCCCGTCCTGTCCCGAGCAGTTCGCAGCGAGCTGAATTGGCCTTCCCGCTCAGGCTGACGCGTTGACGCGTTGCACTCAGTCCCAAAAGTACCCGCCGTAACTGGACTGTCCTCCTTAGAACTCCCTACTCTTCCCTCCTTCCCCCTTCCGGTACACGAGTACTCTAGTCTTCCCGACCTACCTCACAGACGCCTCTGTTTGACCGAGGTTCGTCCTTCATTGACACACCCACCTACCCCCCTCAGACAGCCTGTCATCGGTAGTACTACGAGTGGAACTGGTTTGGGAGACAGACGCACGGCGCTGAATTCATTACACACAGCTGACTGATAAGAGGGCAAAGGGAACGAAACGGCGGACGGGGAGGTGGGAGAGGGGAATGGGGTGAATTGAGGAATGAGGATGTGTCGGCCAAAGTAGATGGACGTCAACATTGCTTATCGATGTAGGAGTAATTATTTCAACTTTTGATTAGGAGATACCTAAGTCGGATTGATTTATGACGAACACAGGATGCTAACGCTGATACACGAGTGTTTTAATCATATCTAACCGTAAACGGATATGCATTGCCACATAACAGTACGAACATGACATCAGAGTTCAGTGTCCTGTCAGATTTCATGCACATCAAAAACTGCCTCATAGAGGCAACACTGTCTTCCAGATTGACTTAGACCACAACTTTAGTGTCCCATCTACAGGCATCCCCACAGCCCCCCCCCATCGCCCCTCAACGGAACATGATACTGTTCGTAATGTTTCCACTTGCTGACACAATCGACCAAACTCGCATACGATTAAGGTAGCCTAGACTTGATAACCTGAGAAAATAGATTGTCATCTGCCCATGTCATCTTGACAGCATGTCACATGGTGTGATGACTAAACAAGTCCTTCGCCAAACCGGCGCGAATGTCACACTCCTGCTTCATAGTTGGTTTCGCCGTCGTTTTAGCGCATGTGTCAATCTTAGGAGAGTTTACAGGCGTGTTGGTAGCGGGGTCATTCACACGTCAGTCACAGAGTCGTTCAATCATCACTTCCTGTAGCCCCGATCTGTGAATCCCTGTCACAATGACTGTCAAACGCCCCTACATACAGCCGCAAAACCCACAGAACACCGTCGCAGCCAGCCCCGGGCCGACGGAGGGACCTACCCGTACCCGCATCCCCGCGAGCAGCTGCAGCTTTACCAGCCCCTGCACAAAGATAAACAAACACACGCCGGAAGGGTGAATCACCATGCATGGTCCATGAGCGTGCAACACGGCTCTGATAATGGGCACAGACCCTATGGGGGTTGGTTGCACTGTGCACTGTATTCAAACCGTGCAGCGCTGAAACTTTGCCGGGGATGGTGAAAAACGGACACAAGAGCTAACTAGGCCAAGGTGGTTTTGAGTTTTTTTTCACTTAGAATAGAGATAGCTGGGCCCAATGCCACGACTCACTATCAACTATAATATGTTGCTCAGCGTAGAACACTAGCTGCGATTCCTAGCTGGAAAATGGTGGAACATTTTTTTCTACATTAACGAGACAGATGATTTCCAATGCCGAGAATCTCAACCTGGATGTTCAGACTGGAAGGGTAGCAGCCGTGAGAGTATGGCATTCACCTGTCCCGCTTCAATAGGAGTCTGATGCTTGTTGCATCATGCAGGTGCCGCGAGGAAGTGTTTCGATGTCAGAGGGGCTTGGCGGGACAGGGGATGATTGTAAATAAACGCTATGTGAAAACGTGATCGGGCCCGTAGTAACTGCATATACTTGGCCGCACCCGACACTATTCAGCGCTGGCACGCTGCCACGGTTGCATTGGGCCATTTGCATCCGGCAAACGATGCATCAGCAACGAGCGCCTGTACTATACTGCGCAGTACGAGTGTAATGGATCACAGGGCTGAGCTGGCGCCTCCAATGACTTTCCAACGGTCAAATGAACCGCCACCATGGACAACCAGCACTCCAGGGTTCGCTAGGGCCTCACTAGGGGCCTCTCATTTCACTCCAGGGCCTCACATTACACATACCAGGGAGGCACAGGGATCCACCGGGTCACATAAGGAGCAACGTTACACACTCGCCGATTAATTATTCAGCAGAGCATATTTACATACATAAAGTGAACAGTCATGAAGGGGAAGTACATTTCTATAATTATACTACAAACCACTTCATTGAGAAAATTTATTCAACCACTTCAACCAACCGATCCATGATTCAAGCATGCCCTCGCATCAAGGCTTGTTCACCCCCCGCTATTCCCTCTTCCACCCGTCATCCACGGCCCGCCCTCCTACCTGGCACGGCCACGAAGAACTTGACGGCGTCCCGGTGCCCGTGGAAGCTGAGCTGCGCGTGCGCCATGTGACAGTACGGTATGAAGCTGGCCGGCGTGAGCTGCTCGCCGCGAGCGTCCGAGTAGACCCGCACCACGCCGCCGGGGAGACGGGGCGCGCCGGCGCCGGCGCCGCCACCGCCGGCGCCGCCCGGCGGTCGAGACGCCGAGCCTGTGGAGAGAAGACGGAGAGTCAGAGGTGGGGGGTCGGCTCGGGATGCCCTGTCTGTAGGGAAAGGAGGAGGGGTTGGGGCCAGGTGATGGTTGAGACACCGAGCCTTTAGAGAGGAGGGGAGGAAGAGTCGATGGGAGGGCTTACGCAGACAGGTGAGGGCAGGGAGAGTTATCAGTGCTTATACAGCCTTTCAATAACCCGAAATTGTGTCTGTACAACGTGCGTACACCATACACAGAGACCTTAACTCAACAAAGTTGATGTTTTAAGACTAACATGAGCATGAATGATATTTCAAGAGATAGCATAACGCGATAAAGCTCACAAGAAGGGTCCGACTCAACGGGCATTTAACCCTATTCCTGGCGGGGGGGGGGGGGCCTCAGGAGCCCCCCCTGAGGTTTTTTGGTTATTTCTCCCAAACGCGTTGAGCTAGGAAGCTCAAATTTTCTGACTTTTCCTAAAAGGCTTCTACGCAACATGTCTGAAAATTTTGAGTTGATCTGACCTCAGGTCAGGTCACCAGAGGCGGTTTGGTGACCCTACCTCAGAAAAGTTTGCAATCACGCCAGAGCTAGAGTTTTTGACCGATCAATTTCTTCTCTTCAGGCTTTAGTTAGGGTACCAGTATGTGCAATTTGTATATCTCGGAATTTTGATATCGGTGACCTAAGGTCAGGTCAGTTTCGCGACCTCCCCATTATAAGTCAATGGGGGAAAAATCAACTCCCTGTTTTTACCACTAAAACGGGTCGGAATGGCCCCATATACCATACATAACTTCATATACGATCAACCTTCACTACCTTGAGGTCTGTTTTGCTGTTGGGCAGCTGTGAGGTCATGTGACGTCATCAAAGGTCACCAAAGGTTTTTGGCCAATAACTCCGTACAGGAACAAGATACAGACGCGTGGATGGTCTCATTGTGTTCAGCTCGTCAAGACGCATCGAATGATATACATGATGACCTCGAGGTCACGTGACCTAAGGTCAACCTTTGACCTTGACCTTTCGAGGTCAACATATATATCATTCGATGCGGATTGACGAGAGGATCACGATGATGCCCTTAGTTTGTTCCTATCTTGACTAATTCGAAAGTTATTCGAGAAAAACTCTCTCTATATCTAGCGCCGCCATTTTGAGTTTTTCGACCCCTGTGACGTCATCTTTGACCTGACCTGAAAATGACCTTAGTAAAAATTGTAGATCTTGACCGTGCGTATCCGATGCCGTTTACCGCTTGTCGCTATCTTGCTTCGTTCTCGAGATCTCAGGGGGGGGGGGCCGAATCGGCCCCCCCCGCCAGTTTCTTGTCCCGGCGGAGCCCGCCAGGAATAGGGTTAAAGATAAAGAGTACTTGCCGCAACAAAGAACACCGGGGCGGTGAGGTCAAGCTCGTATCCACCGCGAGATATACGAGCTATAATATCCTAACTGCATGGTAACTACATGACGATAAATAAGACCCTACCATACCCGACTAATAAAGATAAAACCAGTATAACGCCTTTTGGGGCGACTAACGGAGCGAGCGAGAGGGTGAGCCTTGCACGTGCGAAATTTCGAGGGGGTACCTCCAAATGACTTGCGCACGGCACCCTACTAACCGGTCTCTAGCGGTGTGCCAAATTTGAGTACAATCGGTTCAGCCGTTCTCGAAATCTGGAAGCGGCACCCTGCACGTGAGCACGTGCAAAATGGGTCCCAACTGACTATGCACGGCACTCTACAAACCGGTCCCTAACTGTGTACCAAATTTGAGCGCAATCGGTCGAGCCGTTCTCGAGATCTGGAAACGACCCCTGCACGTGCACACGTGCAGCAGCACCCCAACTCTGGCACATGGATATGCAGTGCCTAGTGGGTGCCTACCTACATGCCAACTTTCAGCACAATCGGCCAAGTAGTTACCGAGATATTGCAACAATTACAAAATGACACCTCTTCGTTTTGCACGTGGCACGTGCATAAGGGGTCAGCCACATGCATCGGGAATAGTCCAATACTTGGTAGAAGGAATGAAGCTACCCTACAAAAATTACCGCATGTAAATCGGTCAAGTGGTTGCTGAGATATAAGCCTCGCAAAAGCGTCCGCACGGCCGGCCGGCCGGCCGCTCATACTCAGAAATTTCCGTTAATCTAAGGAAAGACTCCGCTCGCTTCGCTCGCTCCGTAATTACACGTTACGATTCGAAGTTCGTAATGCTGCACGGTACCGTAAGGACAAGTGAACACTAGAGTAACGTAAAAGTGAGTTCAATGAGAATGGGTGCTTGGTCTCAGCTGAATCATTTTTTTTTTTCAATGACGGAATGAATCTTGGGTCTGGGTATCTGCCGTAAGCATAAATTGTCCTGCGGCGCCCACGAACCAATCCATCGCTCAATCACATCGCTTCAGCCCGATTCATTGATAGGCAATCAGGCAAGTTTGCACGGGCGACTTAGCAATGAGACAGCGACAAGGGGAAGTGTCTGTCTTTTGCGGATAGCGCCCGTACCAAGAACTTAAAGTCCATCTTCCCCCTCTATAACAGCCACGCTCGATATGACTGGCGGCACGTGATCCAATTCAGATTATCAGACAATGATATGAGTCGAGACATGCGAGTTGGAACACGAACCAACATCTGATATCACCCCCTCCGTGACTGTATGCGATAGCTGAAGAATGACTAGACATATAGACTTTTGATTGAACAGAGATCACTTAAGAATGACAAGATCAAACAAAACACCAATTACATATGATTATGCCTCTAGAGATAGTGCGCTGTTATCTTGACAACTTGCATAGCCCCATCCATCTCTATAGTACCGTTATAACCAGTTTCAAATACCAGGGTAACGTTATATAACTAGCTTCAAATACCGGGGTAACCACCAATGACGTAAGTGGAAAGACAGATACCTAGGGATTCGTTGAATGTTAAAACGACGCCAAACCGACCGGCGTCCAAACTGTTGCCATTCCAACAGTATCACAGCCCTGATTGTGCCCCACCTACCCGGAGCTTATCACATCACTGTTTGACTGGAGCTAAAAACTACACCACCGTGTCGATAACACGCGAGTCCAAAGTTACCACATACCAACATCACATCACCACAACGCATACCTCGACAAATGAAACAGGGAGCGACAAGTAGTACAGATTGGACGATTCGCTGCTATGCCGGAGCCTATGATCGAATCCCCCCTCCCGTCGAGGGCTCACCGTCTGCGTTCAGCGGCACAGAGATGACCACGCCGTTCCCTGTTCCGATCCACAGCCGGCTCGACGAGATGAGCAGCGCCGTGATACGCACGAACGAGAAGCCCAGCTTGCCGGTGCCTGCAACACCGGACACATCTGGTGACGGAGAGCGAGTCAGAGATAAATTACAACACCGGAGACAGGTCAAATACAACACAAGACACAAGCAAATTACAACACCGGACACACCTGGTGACGGAGAGCGCGTCAGAGGGATATTACAGAACCAAACACCGAACACAACGCTAAACACAGGTCAATTACAACACCGGACACAGGTCAATTACAACACCGGGCACACTGGTGACGGAGAGCGAGTCAGAGACAAATTACAGCACCAAACACCGAACACAACGCTAAACACAGGTCAATTACAACACCGGACACATCGAGTCAGAGACAAAACTAAAACACCGGACATCGAACACAACACTAAACACAGGTGAATTACAACACCGGACACAGGTCAATTACAATACCGGACACACTGGTGACGGAGAGCGAGTCAGAGACAAATTACAGCACCAAACACCGAACACAACGCTAAACACAGGTCAATTACAACACCGGACACAGGTCAATTACAACACCGGGCACACTGGTGACGGAGATCGCGTCAGAGGGATATTACAGCACCGGACACCGAACACAGGGAAATTACAACACTTGACACAGGAATATGACATCATTGTTGTTGATATTACATATTCGATACATCATCATCATTGTTGAACGTCAGGCAACTAATTCATCAGCAGCCTTCAAACACTTCATCATTGGCCTTTCAAAAGGTGATCACCATTAAACGTTCTACCTTCTTAAGACTTTTAAGACTTTTTACAGATGCTTTCACGCGTCAATATATTTATATCTGACAAACAACATCTAGAAACATTACCCCCAGACACCTAACCCCTCTAAATACGACAGAGACACGGCATTAGAACCGCCAATCCATCTAAATCTGTCATGCGGGGTCGGACAAAACACCAGCGGCAGTGAGGGGGTGCCAGTGCATCGTCTGTGCGCAAGGACTGAGGTGTCGGCCGGCGCAAGAGGGTGCATGACCAGCCGACCGACGCCGCGCTACTCTATACAAACCTCCAGGGATCAGGCCTGATCCTCGCGGTAAGCGTACAAAGAGAAAAGGCAGCAGGTGAGAGAGTGTTAGCGTTGTGGCGCAGAGGTCCCGAGCGACATCCACCCACACACCCACACACACGCGCACACACAGACAGACAGACGGATGGCGGCTGGGCCCGGCCAGGCGCCCGCACAAGCCGACAGCCGGCCGCCGCCTGGCGCGGCGCGACCAAGCCAAGCGGCACTCTGTACAGGCGAGCGCTAGGCTGGCGACAGCGCGGGGCGGGGTCCCTACGGACTGTCACCCGGGCGGATCCAGACCGGCGCGCAGAGACCCAGCACTGGGAGTAACCGGCAGCGTTTAACAATACCCAAGGTAAATAGACTGAAAGTAAACATCAGACCGCTGATACGTCTGTACGAATTTCTTCTGATAGTTTTACGGAAATCCTTAACACATTGGGAACATGATCAAAAACAACTTTCTGTCAATGCTGGATCCGCCCAAAGATAATCCCAAAGCACAACCCAGCTCTACAGACTATTCACCTACTCTCGCCTGCACAATGCACATCTACCCTCTACTCTCTCCCGCTCTTCCTCCGCGGCACTCACCGAGCATCTTGCTGACGTAGGGCTCGATGTCGACGTCCTGCAGATGCTGCTGCGTGTGCGCGTGGTACAGACGCAATGTCGAGTCGAGTCGGATCGACACCCAGACGCCGTCACCTAGCCAGGCCATCTGCCTCAGCTGCGACTCGCGCCGCGGGTGGGCGTCAAACGACGTCTGTGGGGGAGGGAGGCGAGAGTGAGTGGTGAGGAGTTGGAAGGGCTGGAAGAGAGGAGTTGGAGGCGAGGATATAGCGCAGCGATGTTGTTCTTCGCGACAATTTCGGTGCTAAGGCTCCGTATTTCAGTTGTTCGTGTCAGTAGCTTCAAAATTACAATAGTCGACACGGTACCTAGGCTACAATTCAGCACCGGTAGATCATATGAGACACCATGTAAACACATCCAAATATGCGTGGGCTCCGTTGACGCCAGTGCGTGGGCTCCGTTGACGCCAGTGCTTGGGCTCCGTTGACGCCAACATTGCCATTGGCCGACCACTCACCTGGACCTGCATGGTCTTGGGGTTGATGACATGCACCCGGTTTCGACAGCCGCACCACACGCTGTCCTGCACCACTGTCATACACCTGACGACGAAACCAGGACCAGGCTATTCACACACGTACATCCAGCAAGGGTTTACACAGCAATGCCGGAGCGAGTGTGCCCAAAATCACATGGCGGAAACACACTAACGGGGCTGAAATTATGAGGGCATAATAGGACTGCTGATTGAAGCAGGACTGGACGATAATACTTGAAAGCATGTACGCTGGGAGCTCCTACACCACGCTTCCCAAAACATTCCTTGTTTTCATTTGTCACTGCCCTGGTGGACCCTGGTGACCGGCCCGCATCAGCTGACCTGATGCTGTGCTGCGGCTGGCCCAGGTCGAGCAGATGGTAGTTGGTCAGGTCCCACTGGCCGTCGGGCCCGCGGTGAAACATGGCCACCGTACCATCGGCCAGCGAGGCCAGCACGCGACCCTTCACGTGACTGAAACACGGACACAGGGGCGGGGACCGTCACAGACGTAGCCTCCTCTGGGTACAGCGGGCTTTGGAAAGATGTCAACGAGCAGGACGCGGTTACATACGTGGGCTTCTACGAGTTGAAACAGAAAATAGAAACATGTTCAAACGTATTTGAGCGAGACGACGACATACAAATGCAAGTGCAATGTAAATAGTTATGACCAACTACCAAGCCTCAGTCTCAGCCTCAACTTTTGAAATGAGACATTCATGAATGTCTGAAAAAATGCAGGAATGCGTTACAGCTGTTCTGGAATGTAGGAATGTGTACGTCAGAAAACAGATATACAAAGATGGCGGGCCTCGTGAGTGGATGTGGGGAGACTAAAGGCGTAGCGGAAGTGGGGCCGATCTCTCTGGGAAACCCTCAGGGGCCGGCCATGGTGTCAGCAATGACGGGAAATAACTGAGGTCAAGGGGGTGGTGCCGTGCACTTAGGTGATGAATATGGAAGAGGGGAAGGGAGAGAGGGAGAGAAAGAGAGAACTCAAGACAGGGAGTGATGAAAGGTCGGGGTAAAATAAATGACGTCAGAAAACCAGCAACATGTTCGCTGCGAAGTGGATTGTCACGGCCCAGAGACCTCACATGAGAGCAGAGTTGAACCCAACGCGATATATTCAGAGACATACAGCAGCCTTCAACAATCACCTGTGTTGGCAAGTGGCACCGCAATGCGATCATGGTACCATGACCGAATCACGTGCTGGTGAGTAATGCATGACCTGATGGGGGAGCGATACATTACCGGTCGATACATGACCGGCCTCACATGACCCGGAGGCCGGGGTGCGGCCTCAGAGATATTCAGCGAGAAGGGGCTCTCAGGAGGTTCCTGGAGTTCGTCATAACAGGTTCGGCGTATAAAAAGCGCGGGATATGCAAAATACGCGAGTCAAGCTGCAAATACGCAATGGGAATTACCATCGCGTCGGCGGAACCATCACCTCTCGAACGAGAGTCATTGTGTAAATTTTGACCGCTTATAAAACTCAATAATGCTTCAGTATTTTTCCAGTGCAGCTGAGGAAAATGTTAGTAACGACATGACACTTCACACCGCGTGCAAACACTGAGACCCACCGAGATTCGATCTTGCTCCCACCGCCTACTCACACAATGCTGAGCACCGAGTCCTTGAGTCGAATGGAGTGAATGCAGCGCTTCCACTGGGCCTTGGCCGAGTGGACGTAGACGCAGCCCGACTGCGAGCCGAGCCACATGGTGGGCAGCACGCTCGACATCTTCTCCTCCTCCTGGCCCATGTGGGACTCTGGGAGAAAGGAGGGAGGGATGTCAGTCGTAATGCGATGATCTCCAGGAATCCTCGGCCTAAGTGAGGGAAAAGGGTAACTCTTATAGCCCTGCACGTGGGCGGGACTACATATAGCGGACTAAGGACGGCGAGCAGTAATGATTGGCATTCATTTTCCGTCCATCCTTTCGTGAGGGGGGAGGGGGATCAGGACACGTTCAAAATATTATTAACTGTGCCCCCCCCCCATCTCCCCTTTGGATTATTGTGTGGTTCGAGAAGGAGTGTGGACCGTGGAAGCAGGAAGTAGAGCAGGGGTCGCGAAGGCGCAGTCAGTATAGAGGCCAGCAAGCGATATAATACAGCATATATTTATTGGAAACAGGATAAGAAACATCCTGATTAGGCTTAATTACATAAACATTTCAGGGTCTGGCTGCATAACGAAGCTAGATGTAATGTGAAACACTGAATAGGCATGACAGAAGTTTCCCGCTTTGTGACTGTGTAATTTCAAGCTGTTGGGTAAAGGCGCAGACAAGACCCAGGTAGACCATAGTATCAGGAGAAACAGCACCATAAAACACAAATCCCGCACGAATGATACAGCAAGGACAGAGTAGAAAATAACGCAATGACGAGCGACGGGTTTCAGCCGGGCCAAACAAATAAGAAACGCAACCATGTCATCAAAAGTCTCAGAGAGCTATCGTAACAGAGGAATATCACAACACAAAACAAACATCGGGCTAGATAAAGTACCGAAAAATCGGCAGCATTAATTACCCAATAATAACTGCGGGATAACGCAAGAAAAAAAAAAACGCGACTATGCCCGTCCTAAACTGCAGCCATAAGTTTAAGGTCACACTGTTTACCCTCAGGAACGTTGGGTTCAAAGTTCCAAACTGTTGCCAAGGTAAATTTCAAATATCACGACCAACACGTCCAGCCCAGGAATGCACCGTCACCAATCTCCTGACACCCGCCTGAGATTCACAATAAACAACCACCGTTCCGATCACGCCACGTTGGCGCCGGCTTGTGCCCCTGACACCCAGGCAGTGTATATTCACGCCAAACCCAGTGGCTGATCACCCGTATTCCGGCTCAAACCAGCCCAAACACCGAGGTCCAGTTTGTGTAAACAGACCACTCCATCCCACATCGCCTCCGGGTAGTTTAAATGCTCAAATCAATCTGAATTCGCTGGCCTAATGGTCTATGCGTTATTGGCCTACATGCTAGTTGTGGTGTCACGGTGCGTCCAATACCGCTGTCATTAGCGCTCTGTTTGAGTGACACTCTGATTACAGGTGTCACATTTATTCTAGGTGTCACACCGCTACGTACCACTGATGCCGTCAGTGAGGCCATCCTTGACAATGTCATCGGTCGGAGAGGTCATCAGTCGCCGCTCGGCCTGAGCCGCCGACTCTGGGTCCTCTGCTGGCCGCTCGGCCGCTGAGGGGACGCGAGACGGACAGACTCAGCCGACAGACGGACGGACTCAGCCGACAGACATGGCGGACTCAGCCGACAGATGGGACAGATTCAGCCGACAGATGGGACAGACTCAGCCGACAGACGGACAGACTCAGACAGACAGACGGACAGACTCAGACAGACAGACGGGACCGCCAGACAAGGCAAGACAGCCCGACGGGACAGGATGGACAGCACTGACAGGAAAGATTCAACGGACAAACCCAGCGGACAGGGCAGACGAGACAGTCAGGTGGGATAAAATGGATACAAACGAAACAGACTGGCAAATAGGCGTGACGACAGATACAAGACCAAACTGAGTGAATATATAGAAAAACAAACGGAACATAATGTAATGAAGATGCAGGAAATGAGCCAGCATAGACCTTCGATGGGTGCTCTTGAATGACAAAACAAACGATGTTTTTGGTCTTGAGTTTCGTAGATTGGCTATCGACATGAACAATTGAAGGATTCAAATGACAACGTCACAGCAGGCTGGTGATAGGAGCGGACCATACAAGAGACATTAGGATTGGAACATACGAGCAAAATACACGCTGCAAGCCAAAAGATCGAGCGTCATTGCACAGGACGAGTAATAAAAAATAATAGTAAAAGTACCCTGCCATAGCCGTTCAGCCGTTCTGAAAAACAGTAGAGGAGAGCAGCGGTTCAAAAAGAAGAGAACCTTCGCGCCTCTTAGGCGGCTTTGGTCTGCATAGGGAGATGAAGAAACTTTGGAAGAAAAAAATCGAGAAGTGGTCCAATCAAATGAAAACATGGCAACAAACAAAAGCCGGCACATTATATTTATAAGCCTTGGTCACTTTCCTGAAGCTGCAATCTATCGTGTGAGCCATAAGAACTACAAACAAAGCAGTCCGTTTTGCAGGAGAGAAACTGCGAAATAGAAATCTGCCCTAGAAAAAATCAAGCATCCACTTCTTCGAATGCTTAAATGGCAAAGTTTTGACTTACCGTTCTCCCCAGTGTTAACCTCCTTCCGCAGGACAGGTCTGATCTCTGCAAATAAAGCGCCGACGTTCAAAAGCTGCCCAACAACACTAGACACGCCAGAAAACAGCCCAACGATGACACCCAAGACAGACACTATCATAGCTCCCAAACGCACACGGAAGCACCACAGACAAACGATATCGACGGACAGTGACACCCAAAAATTGTTGTCTCCTAATGTTGTTCATCGAAAAATCTTACATCGCAGGACTAGTTGAGACTGGTGCCAATGTGTCAGACCATAGACCTCTGTACACCGGTTTACAGCTGAGGTCTATGGTTAGACGAAAGGTGTGTTTGGTGTCTCCACTTGCAGCCCAAAGCAATCACTTCCAGAGATATTGCAACATCATTCCGCGCACGGGATTTAAGATGGATCTATAATGATCAGAGGGAGCAGCCTGCAGTTATGTGTAGAAAGGCTGTGTTTCAAAAGCGGGCAGTGCGAAATTGAGGGCCAAGCTTACCACCCAGCTCGTCTAGCTATAGCTAAGTGGCAGAGATGCGTCGCAAGATAGATCGAAGGCAAGGGCCGGCTAAATGAATTATCATTACCAAGCCTTTATCAGAATTAATATTTCAGATGACCAACAACAAGCATATCTTATTCAGAGATAGGAAAAAGCTTTAGCATCGGTAAGTTACATTTGGTAGGGAACTAGCAAGAGCCGCGGGCGGCTATGACTACCATACGTCCCAGTGCTACCCTACCTCCTGCCGCAGCCCGAAGCAGTGCAGCGACCTCCCCTCCCTGTCCCCTCCCTTCCACAACTGTGAGCTCACCATCAGTACTGCTGACGCCGCTGGGCGGTCCGCTGGCCGGCGGGGCAGTCTCTCCGGTGGCACAGCTCACCAGTCGGATGGTGGCCATGCGGCCCTCCTGACCAGCGCCGTCCGCTTCATCACCGCCGCCGGCCGCCGCTGTCGCCGGAGCGGGCTCCTCGGTGGTCAGACTGGCCAGCTCTCCGTCCACTGCGTAATCAGACTCCATGGCGCCTGGACGAGCGACGGGGAGGAGGGAAATAGAAGGGAGTGAAGCAGATGCAGAAAAAGCTGACAGGGAGGTGCCGTGAGGGGGAGGCGGTACGCTGGTGCTGGCGATAGGGCTAGCGCGCGGCAGAGACGGCAGAGACAGTGCCGGTGGGTCCCCACCGTGGCCGGTGGGAATACGCGCCAAAGCAATGCAGCAAGTTGAATGGAAGATGGAATAGAGTGTGGCTCATATGGTTGTGTAGGTGACTTCGATTCAAATAATACATAAAACGCTTGAAGAGCTTGCCTGTTTCACCAACTGAGACCATTCCTTTCCTCAACAGAAGCGTAATCATCCACACTCAGCATAGTTACACTGTAGAGACTCCCTCCATCACAAAGAAGCTACTCATACACGACACAACATAATAATTGCCATCTACTCTTTCCTCAATCACCCACGTTGTCAGACCACCTCTCTCCTCTGTTCCCCCTCTCCCTTCCTCCCTCCTTCTCTCTTCCCTCCTTTCCTCTCCGTACATACCCGGCACACTGGCAATGCAGAGCAGATGTGACGAGCAGACAGGGAACGACTGAAGAACATCGGCCGGGTTGTTGGCGTCAATCACAGTCACTTTGCTAGCGTTGTGGGTGCTCGTGCAGATCCACACCAGCGAGGACAGGCTCTGGTCCAACGTCTCATTCTCGGTACGAAGCTGCTCTTGCTCCTGTTGGAGGGTGGGAGGGGAGGCGGTCAGTGTTTGACGAAGGTGAATATCAAAGAACTATGGGAGAGAGCTTGCGTGAACCAAAGTAGCATTAGCGTATCATATGAAATAGGTAGCACACATTCATAAAAGAAAGTGATGAGCATGAGTACAAGGATAACTAAAATAATGCTAGTCTGTCTATGCACGGAAACCAATGCAGTAAACTACAAAGACCATCCAGTTCAGTGCTCCACCCCAGTGACTATTCATTATTCAGCACTTCCTCAGCCCGTACCTTGAGCTGCCGACTAAGCTGCTCGACCTCGTCGCCCTCTCCGACCGGCGAGCCCGGCACGGCGCACTCTCCTGAGTAGAAGACCGAGGCGCCCACCACGCTGCCGCCATCCCGCGTCCGGCCGCCCGTCAGATTCACGCCGGCCGCGCACCAGATCTGAGGGGTGAGAGGTGGGACTGTTAGATGGAGGCGATGCCAGCTCTAGAGGTCAGGAAGGCAGCTCTAAGGATGGAGCACTTCGCTACAGAGGGATAAATGAATACAACGGGAGCTAGTTGGTAGAAGAGTGACGAAAGCCAATGACAGTCAAAGTTAGACGACTGACGAAACGTCCGATGTTTTGGTACGTCCTGAGCAAGAAGGTGAATTCAATAGCTTGCGACAGAGTTCGATTCGATCGAAGTGTTGATGATTTGTCTTGCTTACTCCAAAATGCGATTTCTCTCAAGCACACTCACCTGCTCATTGTTGGGGATTTTAACATTCCTCAGATTGACTGGGAAAACAACTTTTGCAGCGCATCTGAAGCACATTTTGCCAACAAGTTTTTGTCTGCCGTTCAGGATGCATTCCTGTTCCAGCATGTCACCAAGCCTACCAGATTTAGAGAGGGTTGTAGGCCTAGTATACTGGATTTGGTGTTTACAAATGATGAGAATATGATAACAAAGATCAAATATTGTCCTGGATTAGGAAGGAGTGATCATGTGCTACTGAAATGCGATATTGCCTGTTACAACAAAAAATGTTCTTCTGCCGGCTTGAAATGGAATTTTCACCGCGCTGACTTCACGGCCTTGCGTGTAAAACTACATGCAGTTGACTGGAGCTGTTTGTCAACCATGAGTGTAGACGCGGGTTACAAGTGGTTTAGGAGCAAACTTGAATCGCTGATGAGTGAGTGCATACCCAAAGCAAGAAACGTCAAGTCTAAAAAGAACGTTTACATGAATAGCCGTTCACTAAACCTCAAGAAGAAGAAGAAGGTACTGTGGTCAGTGTACATGAGAACGCAAGACCCCATCGACTATAGCAGATATAAGATTTGGAGAAATAAGCTTAGGACATTGACTCGCCAGTTAAGGAAAGATTTTGAAGCTAAGATATCAGCAAACATGAAAGAAAACCCGAAGGCTTTTTGGAAATATGTGAACAGCCGCCGTAAAGTTAAATCAAGTATTGGTGATCTAAGAAACGACCTGGGCCAGCTTGTTAGCGAGGAAAAAGAGAAGGCCTCGCTCCTGAATGACGTCTTCTCAGGCGCATTCACTATTGAAAAAACGGATGTCGTGCCACAACTAGCAAACCGTTACACAGGGCCGCCGCTGATCGATATACCAGTCAACCTTTTCACAGTGAAGCAAAAGCTTAAAGCACTGAACCCCAATAGTGCCCCAGGAGCTGATGACATTCACCCCCGCGTTTTAAGGGAATTGAGTGGTCCTCTCTCCCTTCCCTTGACCTTACTGTTCCGAAAATCGCTTGAAACTGGGTCTATTCCTGCAGACTGGAAGCACGGTAAAGTCATACCAATCTTTAAGAAAGGTGAAAAAAGGAAGACCCAAGAAACTATAGACCTGTCAGCCTCACATCTGTTCCCTGTAAGATCCTCGAGTCGCTCATTCGTGATTGTTTAATGGACCATTTGCTGTCAAATGACCTGCTGTCCAAGGACCAACATGGCTTCCGCCCGAAGCGATCTTGTGATACGCAACTGCTTGACTCTATAGACTCATGGAGCCGCCTGTTGGAGGACAAGACGGAGGTCGAAGTGATTTACCTTGACTTCCGAAAGGCGTTCGACTCCGTCCCACACAAGAGACTGATAGGCAAGCTGCGCTGTTATGGTATTGGTGACCGAGTGTTGTCTTGGATTGAATCATTCCTGGAAGACAGAATGCAGCAAGTGTCCCTATATGGAAACCTGTTTGTTGTTTGTTTATTGGGGCTTAAGGGCGCACCGACTACAAGGTCATTTTGCGCCCATAACTATATACAAGTAAAGCAAGTGTGTCACAAGAAAACCGACGTAATAAAAGGCTTAAAAAAGCCTAAAAGCTGGTTAAAAAGAGCAAAGAAGGGTAAAATACTCCAAGCGTATCGTAAAAGACAGCTGACTAGGCGTAAGGACTAGATTAGAATAGACGTATGGACTAGTTGGTTTGGTATCAGATCGAGTAGATTACTTGGAATTTGATTGAACGGATAAAGGAAAAGATGTTGCCAGATAAAACCCAGGGTGACTCGTCACCCAGCAAGTGGCGGACGGTGATATCCGGAGCGATGCGGCCCAGGTAGCGAGTCCGGTCCGGTTCCAAGCGTCGACAAGATAAAAGCACGTGGGCGACGGTGAGAGGCACGGCGCACCCGCCGCAAACGGGCTGCTCATCTCCGCGGAGAAGGTGGCCATGCGTCGCATACGTATGACCGATGCGGAGCCTGCATAAAATCACTTCGTTTGACCTGTTGTCTTGCGAGCAAGACCTCCAATGCTCCAGAGTCGGCTTCACCTCTCGGAGCTTCCTGCCTCCACGCAGGCGCCACTCTGCCTGCCACTCCGTTAGAATAAAAGATCGTACAGCAGGGTAAAAATCACGCGCCGGCAATGGCAACCGACGAGTGCAGGGTGCTGCAGCAGCACGCCTTGCAGCCGCGTCTGCCAGCTCATTGCCATGAACGCCAACGTGACTGGGAATCCAGCAGAACTGAACAGATTTACCCGATTGTTCTACTGACTGAAGCCGAGCTAAAATGTCTTGAACGATCGGGTCGGCTGCATTAAAACTCCGTAGGGCCAACAGGCTGCTTAGGGAGTCCGATAAAATCAAGTAAAAAGGTCCGTCCGATACCTCAATAAAACACAAAGCCTTCTCGATGGCAACAAGTTCCGGTGAAAACACCGAGGCGAAAGATGGCAACGAAAATGAACGGGTATCGTCGCCAGCGACGAAAGAACAGCCCGCTCCCTCAGGTGTTTTAGAGCCGTCTGTGAATACAGGAATAAAACCATCGTAAGAGGCAAGGTGTTCCAAGGCTCGGACTCGTGCCTCTGCAGGCAGCAACTTGTCCTTTGGAACTGCAGAAAGCGAAAGATCCACCTGTGGACTGACACTTTTCCACGGTGGAGGGGGCGCAGCCCAGGTACGACGGACGTTACGCAATGCTATGTCAGCATTTGAAAACAGTTCTTTCATGCGCACTCCGAACGAGGGTCGTAACCTTCCGTTACATCGGGTGGCATGCCGTGAAAAAACGTATGGGTACGTCGGGTGCATAGGAAATTGGCGCAGTTTCAGCGCGTACCGCATACCCAACATCTGACGGCGGAGTGAAAGTGGCGGTTCATGCGCCTCAGCAAGAATGCTGCTCCTGGGCGAGGTGCGGAATGCTCCGGTGGCTACTCGGAGTGCTGCATGATGGACTGTATCCAGGACCCTCTTGCTAGATTCACTCGCTGAATCGTAGACAAAAGAAGCGTAATCTAGCTTCGATCGTACAATAGATCGATATAGAAGAAGAAGGGTCCTGCGGTCCGCACCATAAGATGTGGACCGCAGGACCCTTATGGAAACCTGTCAGATTTGGTCCCTGTGCGCAGTGGTGTGCCCCAAGGCTCAGTGTTGGGCCCATTGCTCTTCTTGCTCTATGTCAATGACTTGCCAGATGCTGTCACTTCAAATGTGCGAATGTTCGCAGATGACACAAAGCTGTTCTCAGGCGTCTCTTCTGAACATGATGTGCGGACATTGCAGGCAGACCTGAACGCCCTCGTGGAATGGTCTAGAACTTGGCAGCTGCCATTTAACGAGAATAAGTGCAAAGTGCTTCATGTTGGTGCAGCCAAGGACCACCACTCATTTCAAATGGGGTCGGACAGACTGACAAACACGTCAGTCGAGAGAGACCTGGGTGTGCAGGTCGACTCAATCTTGAAGTTTCGACAGCAAGCGTCTACGGCGGTCTTCAAAGCGTCTCAAGTTCTTGCGGTCATCCGCCGGTCCTTCGCCTTTTTAGATGAATTTACCCTGCCTCTTCTGTTCAAATCTCTCGTGCGGCCTCACCTGGAGTTCAGCAGTCTTGTTTGGGGTCCGTTCAATAGAGCTGATCAGAAGGCAGTCGAAAGGGTTCAAAGAAGAGCCACCCGGTTAGTGGTGAGCATCCGCCACCTTCCATATCCTGAAAGGCTGAAGAGACTGAAGCTCCCGTCACTGTACTATCGGCGTAGACGCATGGATATGATTCACGCATACAAGATGCTGCACGGCCACGTTGATACTGATCCTTCAGAGCTTCTGGCAACGAATCCTGAAAGGCGAACTCGGGGTCACACACTTAAACTACGGAAGCCTCGTGCAACCTGCCGTGCCAGACTGAATTCATTTTCTGTGCGGTGTATTAACGATTGGAACGGGCTTCCAGCAGAAATTGTACATTCGCCCTCAGTCAACGTCTTTAAGAACAGGCTGGATGCACACTGGGAGTCGATCTGGTACTCCACTCCTGTAACAGACTGAGTACTAAGTGAAGTTATGGAAATCGGCGAGAACGGGCCCTACAGGACATCGTGCCTCTTGCCCCGATAACACGAAGAAGAAGAAGAAGAAGAAGATTCAATGATGATGATAAGGTAATATGAGAACTGGAATCAATAATAACTAGACACGCAGATACATTATGTAGATGCGATTTCTAGAAAACCCACATCAAGCAGCAATAAGCTATGAAACAAATATGTCGGCATAAAACCTGAACGTGTCGGCATAAAACAACAGTAATTTTTAACTAGCCTCATTCGCGCTATATTCATCTACTCCACACGTCATCACCAATCATATTCACCCCAGCTACCTTCATGCCCTGTTCCTTCTCCATCAGAGGTCGGCAGTAGACGGGCACGGGCACCGGCACGTGAGACGACTTCTGACTCTCGGTCTTGCCCTGAGGCGCCGCCGCGGCCGGCGCGCTGGGCACCTGGAAGCAAAGAGGTGAGTGCTGTTAGTGGGTTGATAGGATGCCGGTGGTTAGGTAGACAGGCTGGTAGGCGATGCTTGGGAGATCACACATTCGTCGAATCTGACATGGCTGGTAGCATACGTGACGTTAGTCAAATTAGTTGAACGGATTGGGTTGACGAAAATAGTCCTAAATTTACAGCCTGGAGGAGGCCATTTTGCAATTCAACGACTAGTGTTTATCTAAACAGGTTTCTCAGTATTTTATGTTCCTTACTAAAATGAAATAAACCCATTTTCTATCTACACAGTTTTAGAGAGTTATTTTAGAGAGTTATCGTTTCTCGATAACTCTCTATACCCACATCCACAAAACCCAGTCTCAGCTCTCCCTTCAGTCTCGCAATATCCTTACCTTCGCGGGCAGTGACCATCCGTAGGCCTGCATGCGTCCGTCGTCCTTTTTGACGTGGGCGCGCACCTGTTTGTATTGTTCACGCCGCTCGGTGGCACGCCTCTGCTGTAGCTTTTCCGACGAACTGCCCAGGAAAGATCGGAGCAGGTCAGGTCAGAGAAAATCACACAGCATCAGACTGTCTTACTCAACTGTTTCGAACAATCGAAGAAATGTCTACTTCCACATTTCCACGAACTTCCAAAGTTCATCCATGATTAGATCAGACCCATCCCAACCCCGGCGCGAATCCGGCGCGCAGGAATTACAATTAACCAACAGTTTCACCCAACCCTATATAAATTCCTGCCTTCTTAATTCCTCATTCTCCTGGCCCCTGCCCTATCCTATCTGCCTTCCTCCGACACTACACCAATGTATCCCCTCCATCTCACATATCCGTGTCGAGGAAGTCCAGCCCTCGTTTGCGCTCCTGCGCGCCGCGCCGCTTGGACGGCTCGGCCGGGCTGACGGAGTTGGACGGCGCGTCGTACAGGACGTTACCAGAGGGCAGAGCGCGACTGGACGGCCGAGAGTCGGTCGAACTGAACAGGTTACTGAAACTGCGGAGGGTAGAGAGATGGATGTTACGTGGGAGCTGAGCAGGAAGTGAGAGTTAACAGCGAAGTGGGAGTTAAAGGGAAGCGGGGTCGTCTTTGTACAATTTACCGACTTTACAGGTCCACGGTCCCTTTGATATTTTCAGCTCATTGTTAAGATGATGCTTTCAAAAAAGGCAAGATGTTGGTGGATACGCACTAATTAATATTGCAGCAATGCCGATACATCGTGTTCTGATATGTCATGCATCTTGAACGACATCCGACAACCTCCTTAAAGGTAGTGTGCCACCTTTGAAAGATTTCCCATTTTATTTTTCCTAGGATAAGAAGCTTCTGTTTTTACCTAATATCGCAAAAAAAAATCAAAAATGGGCCTGGAATAGTGCCTTTTTCGCCTAAAAGTTTTTCGGTTTTTAGATATGTATAACAACTGTAGTGGGCTCACCTGCAAACAGGCGTCGGGCAACAATCGCGAATGCGGCGCACTTGTGACAATAAGCAAAGGTCATTATAGTGTTACGACCATACGACGTACGGGAATGAGTTATCAGCTGTCTAATCGTAGACAACACAATGTCGAGCCTTAAACTGTAAGCCCGTATTGGTATTGTTTCTTTTATTTGGCTGTCGAACATTATTTATGGTTTGAAATATGATTTTATGTAAAATAATTGATATGAAAAAGCCGTCTTATAAGTTATGGCCCCATTTCACCACACGCAAGTGGCAGAAATGACAATGATCAGCTGACGCATTTTTCTTGGCCGAAGTCAGAGCGCGCGGCCCGACGCACCACGCGTATTTGGAAATTCCGACCTCGACGAGCATCAGAAGCCACCTAACAGGCGTGTTCGAAACCGCAGGAGATGATGATGAACGGGTTTATCGAAACTTGATTGGATGAGCATATCGGTAATAGCGATTTCAGTGTGTGCATTTATTGTTCATAGTGGTGTGAAATGTGGTTGGGGTACGACCGACAACCCGTCGGGGCGAATTTCGCACTGGGGTACTCAAAATTTGAAGAATTTAAGACGTTTCCATGAGTTTTGAAGGTATGTATAAGTTCTAAAAATCCGGTTCTCCTTATCTGGGCCATTAACTCCATACGGTCCAAGAAAGCTGGCACACTACCTTTAAACGAACATCAGACAAAAAGGAACACTCATGCAGGCGAAGATGGTCTCAGCCGCCAATTCCTCGGGTCCCTATCAATATGCTACTCAACTCACAATTTCCAGATGCCCTGTTTGCTCTTCTTGTCGATGCCCTGACCGTCGCTTCGACTGGCCCGGATCATTTCCGTCCACCTGACAGCAGACAGGTCAAGTTAGGTCAGCTGGTCAGGTCAGGTTAGGTCAGCTAGTCACGTCGGGTTAGGCACGTCAGGTCAGATTAAGTCAGATAAGGTCGTATCACGCCACGTAGTCACGTCAGTTCATGTCTGAACCTGCAGTCCGGAATACAACGTAGAGGTCTGTTTGGATTAAACTCAACAAACCCAAACAGGCCTGATCAACACCGTGATATGCATACAATGCAAGCACGATCTCTCTTATTGCGTCATGCATCGTTTGCAACAGTAGTCACATGACGGAACAAGTATCCTGGTAAGAACATACCCTTGTAGACATTTGTGGTACACAATAGACCAAACTACTGCTGTAATGTCAGCGACGCCTGGGTAGGACTCAGGTGCAGCCGCCGTCATGGGACGGGGCCGGCCGCTACCCCGGGCCGGCCACGTCACATGCTTTCGCCTCGGACCGCTTAAAACGTAGCGCTCGCCGTCTATCGGGGCGCTTCGTGGCTGGCAGCGTCCGAGGTAGGTGACTTCTCCTGTTATTTGGCTCGAGGGTTGAATTCCCTCACATCGGGTAATTCTTGTCCAAATTTTAGTTGCGCGACTATTCTTTAACTATTGCAGTCTGTTTTAATGTTTTGGGCCTGTGTTATTCTGAATAATAACGTCTTCTAAATCTTGTACATCTTTTACTACGGAGAGCCGGGAGTATGGAAGCATGGCTGCGGAGTCGGAGTCGGAGTCGGAGTCGGAGTCGGAGTCGGTCGGAGTCGACAGTTGTGACCGGAGTCGGAGTCGGAGTCGATTTTAGAAACCCGAGCCGGAGTCGGAGTCGGAGTCACCGAAAATCTGTCGACTCCGCAGCCCTGCTAGGTCTGCGGAGTCGGAGTCGGGAGTTGGAGTCGGTCGGAGTCGACAATTCTGCCCGGAGTCGGAGTCGGAGTCGGAGCTGGTTTTTGAAAGCCGGAGTCGGAGTCGGAGTCGGAGTTGCCGAAAATCCATCGACTCCGCAGCCCTGTATGGAAGTATTTGACGGAGACGCTAAATCTCGCACGGTTCACTGTTTATATTTGGCTTAACCGGAATTAGCTGTTAAAGAGCCTGAGAACTGACACCAGCCCGAGGGGACCGCTACCCACCGAGTGGTTCAAAAGGCGCAGCATCCCACTGGAACCAGAACCGATCGATTGTTGTGCACTGTACTGGGTGGCAGACGGTGCGGCACACACTGTTATTAGAGTTGCAGGCGTGTCCTAGACATGAGCCTCGTTGAGCAACGACGTAGTATGGTAGGAACCCACCTTTCGTGTTATTACACTGCATTATTCAAAAACATTGGAGAGAGATCCAGAATGGTAACCTAAATAACATTAACTCAAATACCTGATGCGTACAAATCAGACCTCACAGTCCTAACGGTCTCCACGAGGTACTGGGACTAGCACAACTCCTATCCAGCCAGGAGAGCATATAACATAAACTGAGCATCAGCGGACCCCACGTCCAGGGGGGCCCTGTCACGCACCTGACCGCCTCCTGCAGCTCCATGAAGCGTTCTTTGTACTGGTTTCGCTCCATGAGCACGCGGGCCATCTCGACACGGGTGAACCGCTTGCGCTGGGCCATCGGGATGTCGTCCTGGGGAACAAAGACGGGTTAACGGGTGAGAGATGGTAATACAGTGGTCTGATACCAAGTGAGAATCTTGGAACATGTTATGGATTGAGGCCTGGAGCGTAACGACTCCTCAACGTGATTGATTTGCATGCCATTGCTTCAGGATGAGAAATCAAAGTTCATTTTTGTTGATACTGTGAAAAAAATGTCGTAATAACTGGATCCTGAACATCAAAAATATCTCTTTTTTTTGTAGAAGAAATGCAACTTGGTGATATCACAATCAGTCAATCACACGTCAGTGTGAAGGGAGAAGAGACATCGGAGGATCGCCCGTATCAGTAATTCCATTGCGGCTACACGGGAACAAAGCCCAAATGGTCCCTCGCAAGGCGCGATAGATTAGAACCATCCTCCTGAGGACGATCCTGCGCTCTCGTACCTCCTCGGTGGTCTCCTTGCTGGTCTTCTCTGCGTCCTCCTTCATCTTCTTCAGCTCGTCCTCGAGCTCCTGGACGCGCAGCTGCAGCCGGGACCGCACCGTCTGCTGCGACTTGACCTCCTCGCGGAGAATCTCCTGCTCACTGGCGGAGCGAAGAGAGGGGAGGGACGGGGGAGGGGATGTTAGGGGTGCGAATATCAAACTAAGGGAGCGCCGCGTGGGGGGTTACTGATGCTCAACGGAGTCCCTAATTAAAGTTTAATATTAACATTTTCCGCATCAAAAGGCATACAAGAAAAAGAGAAAAATTCAGACGGCCAGACAGTCAAACAAAGGCCGTCCAATGATGTCAATTAATCATCAAACTTATGCAGGACTATTCCTTCCCCAGATATGCGTGTAAATCGTAAGAAGATAACAAAAAATATATTGAACAATGAATATGCACAAAGGCATGCTGACTTCAGTCAGTAACACGGTGAACTTTTTAACTGGTTTGTCCGGCAGCTCTTCATGACGCAATGACATCATGAAACTTATACACATTTGCATTGCTATCAGATCAGTCTCTTAAACACAAACGATAACTTATGACCGCGTTTGATCATTGTCTAACTGAATAATGCTGACGGTTGATTGCGCAACACGACCAATGATGTGTCGCTCTCCGATGATCACAGCCTGGACGACACTAGAGGACTTGGGGACTTGGGCCGACAGAGTCCCCAAGAGACATTGGAACGCCATACTCATTACACCTAGTTTGGCTGTGTGGCTTTTGTAACTGGTTTCCAACTGAATGAGAACATAGTCACGCATCTGGTTATTCGAAAACAACGCGCCGTTACGGACACGGCATGACCATTGTCATTACGAGATTCAAGCAGAACAGAAAATAACTATGCTCATTGAAGTTCAGTAAACAAACAAACGGCATGCCCGACATAAACAGGCAATGGGCGCTGGAATGTACGAGCATTGTTGACCACCGTCACTGATTGTCCAAAGTCGACCTTATAGGGATGGATTACATAACGTACAGACCAGTCACGATCTGTACATACGAGTCCTTCGTTACGTGAACTCACAGCGATATTGTCGACTGGCTGATCTATATGATATTGTCAATGCAATGCGGTGGACACACCGCTGGAATATGTCGACTATCGAGTGAGACGACGGGGGCCGGAAAATGTTGACCGTAATTTTCTCGGATAACGTCATAAAAATTCATTTCATGTGTTTCCGTATACGCTAACGTCGCTAACAGTAGAAACGGGGATCAGCTATTAACAATTATTGAGCACGCTCGACTGTAGACTTTTATGAACTGAGCATAAAACATCAAACAGGTCAGTTATCAATGAACATCACAACCCAACATTACAAGAAAGGCTGGGGCACGACACCGAACGAAGAAGAACGTTACATTACCCGCATGCTGACGGTCTTACCCGGTGAGTTCGTCCACTTTGGCAATTAGGTCGTCTTTGACAATGTTCAGGGCGTTCCTGGGGGCAGACAGTTCAGCGTTAGAGGACGCGGGGGTGGATGGAGGCCGGTCTACGGAGAAAGGGAGGGCACAGACAGGCAGCGGGCACCCAGTGCGAGCAACGAATACCGCGCGAGACGAAACGGACACACTGCTGTTTTTATACTAGTTTTGCTCAGCAAAAACGATCGGGTTTCCTGAAATATTTGGAAAGATTGGCAGGGAAACAGACAATCGAAAGGCCGTGAGTAATTCATGCATTTCAAAAAGAACTATGGAAGGGAGCATTGCGCTCTTCAGAAATTCCGCATGCATTTTGCATTCACCCAAGACGACACTCGCCCCTTAAACAAGGTTCAGCCTGTAGCAGGCAGATATTTCAAATAAGCTAAGAAAGGTGACGAATTTCATTGGACAAAAAAGTCACTGAAAATTGAAAATACCGAAAAGTGTTAAAATAAGATTAATCTAGTGACACCAAAAAGACTATCGGTGAAGGACACTATACGTTTCTCGCTTAAGTTGTAGCGTACAAGCTCCGACACAATTCAAAGGAGTTCGGTAAACGAGTTTCATCAAACCAGCAAAGTTTAAAAGAATCCCATTCCACGGTCACATTTCAGTACTCACTTGGTGGCAAGCAGCTCGTTATTTTCCATGATGAGATTTTCCACTTCCCGTCCCATTCCTGAAAGCAAAGCCGGACACTGCTCATTCACACTGCTGACAAAAGGATGGCGTTCCATATTTTGTTCGTTTTATTTGCTACCTACGCACTGCAACGATAAATTGGCAAATGCATTACAAAAATGTAAATTTAGCTCGGATGATAACAAATGCAAGTTGCGATTCGTGGCATGCATGGGAGTGGGGGGGGGTCTTACCGAAAAAGTTATCGCTGGCTGCAAAAAGACAAAAGACCATTATTAGAACATGGAACACAAATGGGTAAAAACAGTCACAAACAAATAGCAAGCAGCGGACACGGACATACGAATTACGAATGCATCAGCATGGTACGCATTGAATATCGCAACAAAAAGCAGGAGAGGGGATTGTAATCACACGTTGGAACAAGCGGCGAAAAACAGGGATGCTAACAAATTAACAAGGAACACAAAATGTTTACAAGTGGGATTACATCTAATTCTAAGCTACTTGTAAAACTACAGCTCAGTGAAAGATTACCAGCACGCTGTAAACATGTTTAAGGAATTACTCAGACGTTAGCCAGACGCTAACGACTCTCCTAACTTACAACGCTGCCAACAGGGAAGGACATTTAGTAGCTACTGTTGACATCGTAGCTAAGAAGCTGAGAAACACAATTAAAACAAGTGGGAACAAGGACGTTTGTTTTATGGTGAGACATGTCCGACCCAGGACTTTGAAGTGAGCAACGAATTTTGGCGATGATAAACAGGAAACTTTTCCACACTTGCCTTTCCCTGGCACTTTTTGCATTCAAACTCAGCCACTGCTAACAGTCCTTGGCATTGGGATGGCTAATGCAATACGACACGCTATGACTACGATGTACAATTAAGCTAGGACACGCTAAAGCAAATGTTCATCTACAAAGTTTACATTGAGGAGTGACAGCAGTGAGCAAGATCAGCTGGAAAATTAGGTGGAATGACTGGGAGATACAACACGATACTTCTTCAAACGCGTATGAGCGGAAAAGACAATTAACCCGACATAGACTGACAGGCCCCCCGACGAGCAGCCTTCCGTGACAAAATTGATTATAAACAGTCCAGTACAACAGACTGGGAGGTGGGTACGACGGACGATCGATCTCATTCACAAACGAAGCCAAGCTCCTCCTGATGCCCCACTGAGCGTGCTCGCGATCGGGTGCAGTAAGCGCACGTGGGGTCGCGCCTATCGCGCAGTGCCCCTGACTCCCTACCATGCTTCTGTGTCGCCGTCGCCGACCGCCGGCCCGGGCCCTCGTCCTCGTCATCTGACTCTGGCAGCAGCGGCGGCGACACGTGCCCAGGTCAAGGTCAAGGTCATGGTCATGCGGCAGGGGCCCAGAGGGTGCAACAGAGACAGCGAGAGTGGCAGGGCGGAGATAGAAAAATAGCGGGTGCTGATAGTTACAGCTCCAAACCAAGAGGTAACTCTGCTCGGTGGCACGACACCAGGCGTCTACCAGCGAAATTTGCCAGGTGAAAGCAAAAACGGTTTGGGTGCACAACGCTTTTTAAACACGCAGTTTTCTAAGTTCAATGGAGAATTGACAATGAGATCACATCAAACTTTTTGTTGATGTACAAAATTCACCGCCCAAGGTCCGCTGACATAGAAACATAATGCCTACTATACCGCTGGTAGCCGCTAGTATCGTTCCCTTGAGCAGTGTTTAGGAGAGATTGTTCGTCGGCGAGGGGTTTGTGGCCATCAAACAACGATTGAGCGCGCGCGACTGGGCAGACAGAACAATAGCTTTGACATGCCCATTGCTACGGCATTACTGTACAAAGCAGCAGCTGGCAAAGTAAATATAGCAAACAAATCGTGACGCAAATAAAATTAAAAATATATCATAGCTATTAGAACATTCCAAATATGATTTAGCAAAAAAGCGCTAATAAAAGTGGCTATATTGAAGTAACAGACCGTTCTGTTTTCCTGGATTTGCCGCAAACGTAAGTGTTAAATGGAATGAGTTAATATACTAACTAGCAGTAGTTAGTTTGACGGAAAAGAACATGTTATCTATGCTGGTTTTCGAAAGTCATGGGTCGAAATAAAAGTTAATATGTTTCATTGCCAATCACAGTGTCTGAAGCACCGTGTGTGTGTTAAAGCTAACACTGACGTCACGGCCAACCAGCATGGAGAGAACATGCAGCGCTAAACTCACGTGACCAACGCGCAGAGCCAGCCACTGGCCTACGCGTTGATCACGTGACCACACCAAACTAGGGTTATGTGCGGCTACTGAGGACCAGCCACCACCAACCTGAGGAGGCAAACTCGCCCGGGTGCACCCAGCCTCCTGGTAGCCGCGGGAACCGACACAAGCGGTCAATTTTAGAGAAAGACGCGACACAGCGGCGTCGGCGTCTTAACGGTTATTGTCCCACCAACCGATAATCAGTTAACGTGACACACATTCGAGTTAAAATTACACCACACCAGCCCGAGGTTACATACACACCGGGATTTATTGGGAGGCGAGGCATGCGGAAGAAGGGTTTACCTCTTCCCAGCCCAGCATCTATTTCGATGAAATTGAGCTATGCCATCCGTAACATGCTGTTTTCCCAAACATAAAACAATTTCATCGTCACCGGGTCCAGGAGATAACCCGCCGAAAATAAGTGCGGGAAGCCAGCTCTGTTAAATTCAACATACGCTATGCCGTATCCCAAGTAAGCCCAAATTTCGAAAGCGTGTTACGGGAAACGTAAGTGACGTTCTTATGGACTGGTTAGAAATTTCGTCCCTCATGTTATCATCGGTGCAGTCACTGTGTAAGTATAAGCCACCAGCTCCCTAGCGTTATTGTACATCCCACACGTCGGGCACACCAGTAGTACCGCCCCCGCTCCCAGCTTCTATGCTTGACGTCCCATGAGGACCGTACTCCTATCCACACCCTGCCCTTCTGCATTAGGATCCTGTGCTGTAGAGGACCTACCGGTGACGTCTCCTCCGTCGTCTGGTTCCAGCGTGGCGTCCTGGAAACTCAGCTCCTGGTACAGGTTGTTGGCAGACCGATGTTCACTGGTGGACGTAGAACAAAAAGTCAGACATGGAAGGGATTAGGAAGGTGATCTGACTAACGCTTAGGTCGCTACTGGGCGGTTTACAATGGGATATCTGACAATGCGGGACTGGTGGATTGGGGCAAAAGCGTCATTGACGATAGAAAGGTCAAGATAGAAATATAAATACGAGGGGCGTTCAAGAAGTTCTCGGCCCAACCATGAAGGAGTTGGAATTTCGGCCTGCGACGCGGTGTGTTCAATGATGTGTTATTGGGATGTTCACTTGCGTAGCCATTAACCAATCTGCCCTGTGATTGGTTCAGGCTGCTAATTAATCGTAACATAGTTTGCTATTCCCGGTCAGAATGGGTGACGCCCAGAATAGAACAGTGATTTGGTTCATGTATTGCAGAAAAATGCATCAAACGTTATTCACGAAAAGCTAGTGCCAACACATGTTGAGGTTTGTCTTTCTTACAGTAGCGTCAAAAAGTGGGCATCTCTGTTCAATTTTGGTCAACAGATCATTAATGGTCATCCCCGCAGTGGCCAGCCATCAACAGCATTGACTCAAGAAAATATGAAAAATAAGCACTTCTTTGTGAAAAATGACAAATGTTCTGGTCTGAAACAACGCAGCAAAAGCGGAGTTGTCTATCAGGTTCCTCAAAGCCATTCTTCGACAGCGTATTAATATGTTTAAGATCTCTGCAAGATGCATCCCCCGTTTGCTGACTCCAGAGAAAAAGGCAAACTCGAAAGGAGGCGTAACGCTAAAATTTTGGCCCCTATTTCGAAGATCCAAAAGAGTTCATTGAACTACTTGTTACCGTGGAGGAATTGTGGGTGTCACACATTGACCCTCAGGGCGTGACCGAGTTGCACAAGTGGAAGCACACTGAGTAAAGGCCACCAAATAAGTGCGACGTGTTAAGTCAGACGGCAAGGTGACAGTGGTTGCATTTTTGGATGATGGCGGGGCTCTGCTCGTCAACTTTCTAAAACAGGGGCGCACAATTAATGATGAATGCTACACCTCTCTTCGATAACAGTAGCGAGCAGCAGATATCAAGGAGAGACTAGGGAAGCTGACTAAAAGTGTGCGCCTCATCCAGGACCACGCACCAGCACACATGAGCAGGGTGACGATCAGCGAAGCAGTGAGCTGTGGCTTCGAGTTGTTGTCACAGCCACTTTTTTCTTCGTACCTTGCACCCTCAGGTTGCCACCTCTTCCCCAACATAAGGAAATTGCTTAGCAGTGGCAACTTCGCTGACAGCAAGGAGACAAAAGCAGCCGTCTTGGACGTGCCAGATGCGTCCAAAACCCACTTGGCTATGGAGACCCAGGGGCCTCTCGCGAAGCGCTGCGCGAAATATTTTTGTCTTAACGCTGGTTATTTGACTAAATGAACATTTTTGGTTTAATAAGTCGACGTCGTATCTCTGCTCCTTCATGGTCGGGCCGAGAACTTTTTGAACGCCCCTCGTAACATTGGGACAACTGCGGCATGACTTGATTTCAGTCATTTCTAAGCCAAAGTGGTACTATGCTTTAGATGCATTGCTGTTCGTTTGGCAGAATCCAGTGAATGCAACAATGGATTACGCGCTACCCGTACATATTCTGGTGCTGTTAGCTCACGCCCGAGCGAAGGCATTACCTGCGTTTGGTAGTGTTGGAGAGGGCCGGCGCCTTGAAGTCTGAAGGCATGTCCTCGTGGTCCGGCGTGACGTCATCCATCGACATCTCCCGGTCCCAGGCTGAAATAATATGTAAAACGATTAATGATTATACATGATAATAGTGGTAGCCGACCGTGGATGCCTTAGGTCGACCGTGGTCGAATATTACTGACGTGGGCCGTTTGATTTAGGGGTCTCGCCGACACACAAGCAGTCGGTAATTTGCGAATTGTCAACTGGAAGCTGACGATTTTCAGTGCATGCGCGAAGAGCGAGCTCCTAAGAACAATCCAAAAGAAGAAATAAGAACGATCCAGGGGTCAGCCAGAGGCTACAGTTCTGGCACTTCTACGACACAAGCTCAAGGAAGTTTTACGTCATTTTATCTTTCGTATGTTTATATGCGCATGTCAAAAAGAAAAAGATCAAAAGAAGACACGACATCGAGCATTTGATGAGCAATTTCGATAAAAAAGGTTTATGGATAAAAATACGTTTTTATTGTAAAACCAACAGACAAAAAAAAAACGGACAGGCTCAATTATATAAATATTCAATGCTTTGTGGATAGTGAGTGTACCTAGACTACCAACTGCCTTCATTTTGAAAGCATATAAAAAGGGGATCCAGCGGTGACCGTAAAAAAATGGCCAAACCAAAGATATGAGTGCATTTCTTTTATCAGTATCGCAAGAGAATAAGACTACCACATAGCATGCTTCCCAAAAGGTATCACATTCATCACCGCATTCATATTCTTCCCCAAAGCACACATAGAGTGAGATAGAGGGCAAGTTCTAACTAGATCAAAGATCAGAAAGAGATGGCTGATAGTCGAAAGTGTTGACTAAAAATCGAATCAGGAAGAAGAAACAAATGGGTCTCAACTCTCAAGCAGATCTACCATAAGAACGAAAAGGCTCTCAACCATGTCAAAACTTCGAAAGTGAGTTAAGCCAGAGTAAGTACTGAGGAGAAGGCAAGAGAAAAAGACTACCACATCTCATGCCACACACAGTGGTGCATCAGAGACAGCCGAGTTCCCCATTCGGCCGCTCCGAGAGTCCGCAGACCGGCAGTGCGCGGCTGTGTGCCCATCACCGTACCGTTGGCGCTTGGCGTGTTAGTGGCGCTCGGCGCGGCGTCATGCGTTCCCATGGTTACGTCGGTGGTCTGACCTTTGTCGGCCGTGTGGTGACGCTCCATCGCCGTCTCCGCATCCTGCGTAACGGGGAGGGGGGGGGGGTGAAGGGGTGAACATTTTGGCAGAAGACTGGTGTGAGAGATGGCGGGCGCCTCAGTGTATCACAAATGTGACTTAGCCGAACAGGCGTGAATGCTGAAAGGGATAGAGTTTATGATATCATTAAGTTGGCAACAATTACGCAAATCATTAAATGACCTGCGTATGATGAATGATAGTCAATAAAACAAGAGCAATATCATTTAAAATAATGACATAAGAACAATGTAAGGGCTGTCTAATGCTTTCATAAAAGGCAAGACAACCATGCACGAAACTAGACAACTTCACGATCACATAGATTACCGCTAGTTCTACATAGGTGCATCCGAAACATATTTAACAAAAATAACAGAGCTCAGCAATGACACCGAAGAATATAGCCATGATACGGCATTCAGTATGCAAATCGAGGCTCAGTCGCCAAAAAAGCACTAGCGTCCATTCCATACAGCGTACTTTTTAACGTTTCATCTATGACCAGAAATACGGCAAGTACGGCAAGTGAATATCAGTGTTCATTGTTCGGCTCCACGCAAAAGAGAGTGGATATGTATTCTGTCTCAAAATGAACATGAATGGCTTGTTAACCAACTTAGAACAAAGTGATATCTAGCTTCACTTTGAGCCTCAGCTAACAATAACTGTTGCTTAATCACGAACCCTCCACCTCGTTCCTCTCACCAACAGCGAACGAAGTCCATAACCATTTCCCAAATTCATCCCAAATACCCAACAACTCTTCCACCCCATGCGCTCCGTTCATGCTGCCTGACCTCTGAACGCCAAGAACATCAGATTTGTCGAATAAAAAACATCACAAACTACCCAAAACTTCCTTGCTGAAGCTCAGAATAAAATATATTAAACTCAAGCCCAATTCTCTCCCAGGTTCCTTCTCCAACCATCTTTTGAACAGCCCTTCACCGCCACAGGTTCGAGGAGACTTCCCATTCCTCCCTCTCCCCACCATACCTGTCCAACCATACACACAGAATAGCAGAGCGGCAGAATCAATCGCCTCCATTCTTAGGGTGCCGCAGGCTACGCTTCGTGCCGTGGCGTATCACATCCAGCAGGCTTAAATCGAACGGGATGTACTTACATTTACCTGGATCTCAGCCTGGAGGCTGTTGGGGCCGTGCGGCTGGTGCTCACTGTCGCCGCTAGGGGCGCTAGTGTCGGCGGTCGCTGAAGTACCGGAGGCAGACGCGGCTGGACGGGGCTCGCTGCCCTGCAGTTGGAACGACAGAGGCCCCGCAGATCTGGGGGCACAGATGAGGGTTAGTCAAGGGATGGGCATAACAGTGTGCTTAGTGACACGATCGTAGAGGAAGCAAATCAAGCAGGCAATGGGGAGATATTTGGGCTGGAATAGGTCATACAGATGAGGGGAAAAGGCTGGTCAAGGAAAGACCCGTCCCGTCGTTTCCATCCTCAGGACATTCAAATCCTTCTCCACCATATCTCAACCCCCTGTTCCTGGCTGGACGGGCAACTTTATTCCATGCCGCAGGAGCACGCCCGTAGCCGGGTGCGGTGAGTGCTCGGGGGGCTGGTTGGCCTGTCCTCTGGACGGACTCAGCCCCGGCGACTCACCATGATGTTAACCCAGACCAATGTCTCCCCCCAAGTTCTCTAATCTTTCCCGCCGTGAAATGGTCTCGTCATGCCGAAAGGGCCTAACCCAATAAAACAAACAAACTAGTCAAAGAGAGGAGGTGACCAAGGGAAAACAGCTGAATCTAAATAAATAAATATCAATTATCAATACTGCAGCCCGTCAGGTAGAAATCGGTGATGTGCTGCTCTGTTTTTGGGTCTAGATAGGTGGAAGGGTCGTTGGGTGGATTATCGAAACATCGATCAATATACAGGGTAGCCATTAGCGAACTGCCTTTAGAGGAGACCGCACATGAGGCGGCTTTTGACCCTGACACACTGTTTCAGTGGTAAGTCATCCCTAATACGGGAGTGCAGGCTTCTTCCGATCGAAAATCGACCCGGAGCTACTGCATTGCAGTGAACAGGATCCAATCACAGATGACTTTTCTCAAAAGAAAATGGGATAGATGGGATGTCGTAAATTATTGGATAAGGCGATATATTGAAATACGACGCATGTATAGTTCAAGACTCCTTCGGAGGTGATGAAATAAATAGGAAAATTAGGGAATAAACTGTAACCCCAAAATGAAACGCAGCTGCACAGGGCCGCTATCGATAAACATCGGTAACGTTATCCAGTTAAAATAATCACTCGAGCGACGACGGGGGCAGGACGGACGGTAAAAAATCGGCGCACACATAAACAAACGACATTCAATAGATAGGACGACCCACACGAGTCTCCGCATTGGACCAGACCGACAAATAGATGCCTCACTCGATGAACCATGCTTCATTGTACACAAAACGGCATTTCTGTTCATGCTTGGCTATTTCAATTGCACTCTCTTATTCATTTTAAAGTAGGCACGCTTTTCTTCATTTTCGCGTTTGGCTAGAGTTGTCCAACGTCTATGTATAATATAAAAAAGAACAACAGGGACGGTGCTGGGATTGTAATTCGAAAGAAGAAAAACCAGGACGGTGCTGAAACAATGTAACATCAACAATGGACCCACCATCTGACCACCACTTCGTGCACCAGCTTAACCGAATACGAAACGATGAGAGGCGCATCGTCGCATCTGACCTGGATGCTGGCGGCCCCGCGCGCGTGGGACGCGTCCCAATCCGTAACGGCACTCAGCAAATTGAACCGTAATCCAGTTATCCTGTTGTGAAAGGACGACGACCGACCAGGATGCGGGGATAGACCATCAATATAAGGCGACAGTTCAACGGCACAAAACAAAGTACAAAGCAGATAGAGATTATCGTTCAAAGCTCGTAGCCTGATAATTCTGTCGGTTCACGCCGCTTAGGTTACAGCGTGCCATAACCGATAGCGGAGCCAGCCAGAGTCCACCTCTGATCTGTGGCGGTGCGCTCTCGTGCCCCCCCCCCCCCGCCCGACCCAGGTGTCACGTGTCATTCCGTGTCACAGCCAGTGGGCGGACCGGGCAGGTCATACTGCCGCCGGCGGTCTGGCCACAAAATCAATGGTAGTCCGCGCGCGGCCGGCTGCTGCCGGCACGCCCCACGCCGGGAGTCGGACGGTTTGGTGCGTGGGAGGGAGGGGTGGGATCCCGGCAGCCAGGGAGGGTGGGCGATGGAGTGGCTAGTGCTTCATCTCACAGACCCGAGCTGGATGAAGTCACAGATACACCGACAAAGTTGTTGGTAATCAGTCTCAGACAATAATGTTCCGATAAGCCAACAGACTCTCGGAGTCGAGGACTCAAGTCGGAGTGAATGATTCACAAGGCTGTACTCGTTCCCCACCTCTGCTCGGTAATACTTGAGTGTCGAGTGTTCCACAAACGCTGCACAAACTGATCCGTCCATCAGCAGTGATATACTTCGGTAGCTTACGATATAACATTGGAACGTATGATTATCCTTTCCCACATCCGAGTAACGTTAACACGTTCTAATCCTTATGTGCAACTCCCCAAACCACGGCAGTACCGGCGTTCCGCGCCGTCTGCCGTGCTGTCTACAGTCCACTGCGCCCCGAGCTCTCTATCCTGGACCGATTGCCATATGCTAAGGTCCACGGCAGTTGCAGCCGCCGCACCCAATCACAGACTCAGCAACGGATTAAGGACTAAGGAGTCACCCGGTACACTACCACGTCAGCTATCGTGGCCGGCACGGGTTGGGGGTGAGGGGGGGGGGAGGGGCGGGGCCCGTCGGTGGTCCGACCCGCCCACCGGCCGCGCCCGGTCTCTGATCAGTCCGTCGTGAGCCCGGCGCGGCGCGATACCCCGTCTGTCCGACAGACAGGGTGAATCACGTCGAATGTCGCCCGGCCCACACAGCTGCACAAATATCCCGGCGCCCGAGCGCAACAGTCGGGCGGAGCTGCAGTCGGCGCGACGGCCGACACGAAATGCCACACCCCGCCGACGAAATGACGCAAAGGTGCTCCGAGGTGTTTCCGTTTGGAGCGGGAACGGCTTCATTTAGCGAGTTGCTGTTGATTTTCCAAGATGTGCAACACTTATGCGCTACACCAGAATTCTTCCGATATGCGATTGTGAGTTCTAAAGAAGAAAAACATTGATAGACCTGGTGCGTTCTGAAAACCATTTCCGGTTCAAATCAGCAAATGCCTTACAACAAAATTGTGTGCAATGAGTCTTTTACCCATACGTGATACGAGTCATACAGTACCTACTACCTAGTGTTGTCTCGGAATACGTATCCTTGAGGTTGCGTCCACGCGATCGCATGTGTCAACCCAATAGGTCAATAATCTTAATTTACGGTAAACCACCAATCCTTCACTCAACTCTGTACAACAAAACAGACCAGCCTACAGGTGTTAACTTCTATCCCAAACAACAGCGAGCATCTTGTCGTCGGCCTCGCGCCCACCTGGTCATGGAGTTGTTCTGCAGGCCGCCCAGCGGCACCTTCGGCCGCAGCATGCTGAGCTGGTCGAGACGGTCGGTGCCCAGCAGGATCTTGGTGCGCTCCATGTAATCCATGTGCGTCTTGAAGAGCTCTGTGTAGCGGTCGTGCAGCTTGGCGTACTCCTTTCGCATCGTGTCCTCCTTCTCCTCCAGTCGGGCCACTGAGGACAGATGGGCAAGACATAGTCAGCGGTTACCCAGACGGGTGGAGCACGCCGTCAGCGAGAGGGACACCGTCAGCGACTACTCAGACGGGCGGGACAGAGTGTCAGCCATTACACGGACGGGCGAGACACGACATCAGGTAGGAAATACACAGCGCCATCGGCTACTCAGATAGGCACAAATTGGCATCAGCAGTCACTCAGAAAGGCCGGACATGGCATACGTAGTCACTCAGATAAGCGAGACTGAGACATTGCGTCAGTGGTTACTCAGATGGGCGAGACTAATCAGAGGATGGCAGTGACAGGCTAGACAAGCTCACTGGTAGGCATTTATAAATTTTGATACCACCTATTACTATGTATATGTTAGGTTCTGTCCCAGCCCCGTCTTGTCCCGTCTTTCCACTTCGTAGTTAGAAAATACAACGTTTCAATTATCTTGCATTTTCCATACGACTTCTGGCACAAGATACAAAAATCGTTCGGCACACAGCCCCTTCCAAACACCGCACACAGCGTCCAAACAAGAACTCCTCTCAGCCCGCCAGAAAACACCATTCCAGCCCCGACACGGGATTGGCCCAGAATCGACCACGCAACAAGTCTTGGCCAATCCCACCGCTACTACCATCCGATAGAAGAGATGGGCGCGGACAGTGGCGACGATTGAGTACCAAGTAGGCATAGGGATGGGAAAATAAACAATCTCTTCCTCCATCGACGTGAATGACGCAGCTCTAACGAATAACGGCGCAAACAGCTGCCAACCCGCTACCAAATTCAGTTTCCTCTATCGCTTACCCTCACATCCCCCTTCCCTTAAATTCACTAGGACGCGTCATACGTGAATCAATATGCCTAGTGACATCAACTCACTTCGCTGGTCTTGCTACACCAAACCAGTCGCACGAATCGGAGTATTGCAGCATTCGTACAGTGCACACAAATCAAACAAACATCCGACAGTAACATCGTTCTAACTTAACTCTTAACTTTAGGTCACACGTCCCACTACTGGTGCGTCATGTACCGGATGCTACCGACAGCATCTTCCATGTCTCGATCACACAATAGTTGACGAGTATCATCACACCATACCACTGGAATGTCAGTCAAGAAAACGACGAGGGCGACGCACCTCGCGTCCACATCTCGTTCTCACCACTGTCTCGGCTGCCCTGACCTCTAGGTCACCGGGCCCGGGTGACGCCCCCACCAACCGCGAAGGTGGCGCCACGGTCGCCTGCCCAGGCGCCGCCACTGACAAACGTTCACCGTCCTCACACGTCTGTGGGCGCTGCTCACCTGTCTCAGCACCTGTCTCCAGTGTCCGCTCGTTAGCCACTGTCGTCCCCACCGGCCGTCCATCGGCCGTCACCGCCATCGGTCGTCCATCGGCCGCGATCAACTCCATCGGTCGTTCACCAGTGCTTGCCTCGTCCATCGGCTGCTCTCCGGTAGCCGACTCCTCCAGAAGCTGCTCTCCAGCAGCCGTCTCCTCCAGCTGCCGCCTGCCAGCAGTCACCTCGGCCAGCTGTCGCTCGTCAGCAGCTGTCCCCGCCAGCAGCCGCCCGCCAGCAGCCGCCTCCGCCGGCCGTCGCTCGTCAGCAGCCGTCTCATCCAGCTGCCGCTCGTCGGCAACAGCTTCCGCCTGCTGCCGCCCGTCAGTAGCCGGCCATGGCCGTTCTCCGGCCACTGTTGTCGCCTCTGCCCACGGCAGGTCGCCTGCCGTCGCCACCAGCTCGAACTGCCTGCTGTCAGCACCGACCGCCTGTGGTCGCCCGCCGACTGTGCTGGTCTCCGGCTCCGTTTCACTTCCAGATTCCACAGCCACTTCCCGGCTGTCCCAGGTATCAGCTCTCTTGAGATGCGCTCCATGGATCCACCTCCGTCGTCTTCCTTTTCTGAGTAGATAGTCCGGTGGTCTGCATTTGATGATTGAGTACGGTCCCTCGAACTTTGGCTGCAGTTTGCCCTTGACACCTCTCTCGGCACGGAAGTTTCGGCACCACACTGTGTCTCCCAGCTTGAATGCTCCGGTGGATTGCGCGTCAGTCCTGCGGCTCTGCTCCTGCTGCACGCGCTCAGACACCAGCTGGTGGATGTCCGTCAGCCGACCCCGTAGACTCTCCACGTAGCGCTGGTAGGTGCGCTGCTTCAGCTGCTCTCCGTCCAACTCTGCCCTGAGCACGGTTCGAGGCGAGAAGCCGTGCACCAGTTCAAACGGAGTGAAGCCTGTGACAGAGTGGGTACTGGTGTTATACGCGGCTGCTACTAGGGGAAGTAGTCCAGGCCAGTCTTCCTCAGCCGTGAAATGAGACAGCATTTCACACAGAGTCCTGTTGAATCGTTCAGTGACGCCATTGCAGCATGGTCTGTACACAGTGGTCCTCAACTTCTTGATTTTGAGCCGCTCACACAGACCTCGTACCAGTCCACTCTCAAAATTCCGTCCTTGATCCGTCAGCAGCGACTTCATTACTCCATACCTGCTGATCACCTTCATAAGACAATCTGCTACATCTTCGGCTGTCTGCGTTCGCAGTGCAAACAGCTCCACCATCTTGCTAAACAGGTCCGTCACCACCAAAACGTATCGGTAGCCCTGTTCGGTCCGAGGCAGCTCCATGATATCAGCAGCCCATTGCTGAAGCGGTTGACCCTCCACAGGCACCGCTCCTCTTCCTTCCTGGCACGCTGTCGTCTTGGATTTGTGGGCCAAACAGGATGGACATGAACGGCACATCTGCCTCACGTCCAGTCGCATGTTGTGCCAGAAGTAGTCCTCTGTCAGTCGGTGAATCGTCCTGCGCACACCTCCATGTCCTGCCGTAGGAACATCATGTGCCAACTCCAGCAGCTTCGTGCGCAGACTCAGGGGTACAAGTACCTGCGGCTTCTGATGGCCCTTTGACTCTCTCAGAATGATGCCGTTCTTCAGGCTGAGTCCTCCGAGCATGCTGTAGAACTTCAACTCCTTGACTTCACTGTCAGTCAGGTCCTCTAACTTCAGCTCTTTCCCTTGTAGATGCAGACTGAGTCTTCTCAGTACTGGATCCCTTGCTGTTGCCTCTCTGAACTCAGCCTCACCCTGAGTTGATGCTGACACACTGCCGACAACAACAGCTTCAACTGTTGCTTCATCAGTCACTTCTTCTCCATCCTCATCGTGACCTTCTGAGTCCACCACACGTCTCAGATGTAGTCGGTGTAGTCCCTCGCTCTGTGGTACGAACTCCGCTGCGTTCACATTCAGCTGGCTCTCCTTGTCTGCTTCAGTAGGCTCGTCTTGTCTGGATAGAGCATCCACATGAGGAATGGAGCTCCCTCGTACATGCTCCACGGTGAAGTCGTATTCCTGCAGCTTCTCAAACCACCGGTACAGTCGACCGGACGGTGGCTTGGACTTCTGCAGAAACTGGATTGCCTCATGATCCGTCCTTATCTTGAAGGGCTTGCCGATCAGGTAGTGTCGATACTTCTTGACCGACTTGATGACAGCAGCCAGCTCTCTTTCGGTTGCCGACCAATTCTTTTCAGCCGGTGTCCATTTGCCTGAGGCGTAGGCAATGACGCCCTTTTCCTGGCTCAGCACAGCTCCCCATCCAGTGCCACTACCATCAGTCGTCAGCGTGAATTTCCCCATCACATCCGGGAACTTCAGAAGCGGATACTCCTCCAGATCCTTCTTCAGCAGTTGGAAGTGTGCCTCGCACTCCTCAGTCCACTTGAAGGTCACCCCTTTCTTCAGCAGGTCCGACATCACAGCTGTCTTGCTTCCGAAGTCTGGAATATACTGCTGGTAATAGCCAACAAAGCCCAGAAATCGCCGCAGCTCCTTGACTGACCGTGGCGATGACCACTTGCGGAGAGCTTCCACCTTCTCTTCAGCTGGTCTGATGCCTTCGGTGCTCAGATGATGTCCGAGGAAGTCCACTTCAGTTACGGCCACTTTACACTTGGTTGGGTTCAGCAGCAGCCCTCCATCTCGGAACTTCTGAAGTAGCTCCTTCAGATCTCGCAGGTGTTCCTCAGTCGTCTTCGAGAAGAGGATGACGTCATCCAGGTAGATCATCACTTGTTTCCAGGTCATTCCTTTGAGTAGGTCTTCCATGATTCGCTGGAAAGTTGCTGGACTTGTCTTCAGGCCAAACGGTTGTCTGGTCCATTGATGAAGACCGAACTCTGTGGTGAAGGCGGTGACTTCCCGTGACTTCTCTTCCACTGGGACCGCCCAGTATGCTGCTCGCTGGTCTAACACCGTGAAGATGGTTGACCCCTGTGTCGCCTCCAGCATGTCCTCGATTCGTGGTAGCGGGTACGAGTCATGTTTGATTACCTGATTAACTGCACGGTAATCACAACACAACCTCATGCCTCCATCCTTCTTCTTGACGATCACTACTGGTGAAGCCCAGGGCGACGATGATGGTTCCACGAGGCCCTGCTCCTCCAGCTGATCCAACTGCTCCTTCAGCTGCTTCCTCAGGTGCAGTGGAGTGCGGTAGGCCCTCTGCTTGATTGGCCTGGCTCCTCCCGTGTCGATCACCAGCTGATGGGGTCCGTTGTACTCTCCTACCTCCTCTGGGCTCTTCGAAAACACATCCTCGTAGCTCTGCAGCAGCTCCTGGAACTGGGAACGAGCCGGCTCAGCAAGGTGTGACACATCAGGCAGACCCTCTGTCTTCTGCATGTGGCACAGCTCCGTATCCATCAGCTCATCCTGCCCCAGGACTGTCCCAGCTGGGATCACGACTTCATCATCACTCATGTTCAGCAGTCGAATCGGGATCGCTTGGTGGGCCAGACGTACCGTGGGTGCCATGACTACTCCATCCACCTCGGCTGGGTAGAACACTCTCGGCTCAGCAACTGTCACCCTGCGGATACTCATGACAGTCTCTGCCCAGGGGGCACATGTGACTGCACACCTAGCCCTCACAGTCGACCACCTCGGGATACTCCTGCCCTCAACTGTTAGTTGCCCTGTCCCACAATCGATAGTGGCCTTCAGCTGTTGCAGGACATCCATACCAATCAGCACACAGTCAGTGAGGTCTGCTACAACAAAGCTGTGGGGAAGGGTGGTGTCACCAACCTGCAGCATCACAGAACATCGTCCCATTGTCGTTACTCTGGTGCCGTTTGCTGCGACGAAGTGCTCGGACTCAGATGATGTCGCCTCCCGCTCTAGTTCCAGGTCATCAGCCACCTCCTTGCTGATGATGCTGGTCACACTCCCAGTGTCCACCACCGCCTGTACCTCCGTCCCATTCAGACAGATGACTGCCTTGACCTCCGCTGGCTGATCGGAGCAAACACGCCGCACAGTTCCTGTTGCCTCCTGTGCTTGTCCCCCTCCTGGTCTGGATCCGCTTGCTTCCGCCCTCTGTGCCCCCGGCTGGGAGGGACACTGTCGCTGAACGTGGCCCCGGCCTCCACACCTGAAGCATGTCTGTGTGACATCCCTGCTTGATCCAGATCGACAGGCAGCTGCAAGATGTCCTCGTCGACCACAGCTGAAGCAGGTCGAGGCAGGATCCCGGCTTGCTCCTGTCCGACAAGCAGCTGCCAGGTGTCCCTGACGACCACACTTGAAGCATGTTCGTCGGTGGTCTGGTGCACCCCTGGCTGAAAGAGTTCTTACTTCCTTTGGCCTGTTGGTGACAGTTAACTCGTTTTGTAGTTCTTCGGTTGTTTTTATTCTTTCAAGTCGCCTCACCAGTGCTTCTGTATTAGTAGCTTCGCTGTCTAGTACCCTCAGACGCCACTGACTGGGTACAGCACGGGTAATCTGTTCAGCCACCAACTGCTCTTGGGCCTCCACACTCAGCTCTGGCATAGCAGCTCTTGCCAGTGTTTGCAGTCTTCCTACAAAGGCCCGAGGCTCATCTGAGGCAGCCATCTTTAGCTCATAGAACCTATGTAGAAAGGCTCGTCGTTTCTCGGCCGGTACCAGTCGCTTCATCACATGGTCCTTCACCTCCTCCATGCTGGTGAGGGTGACGTCCTCTTCCAACTCTCTGGCCAGCCACTCATGGGCCTCCCCGAAGAGTGCCGGCAAGATGGCTCTCTGCTGACTGTCGGACCACCCGTTGGCCCTGGCCACTCTTGTAAATCCCCTCATGAATGTCTCAGGGTCTTCCCCCTCCTTATAACCACGGGGCTTAAAGACCGAACCGGATGGCTCCATTTCACTGGTCTGGCTATTTACGTTAAGATCAGATTGCAACGTTACTGGTTTATTTTCCAAATCCTCAATATTCACTACCTGAACTTCCTTTTTTATCTTGCTCTTGATTTCACTCATGCGCCAGGATTGCCTCGCTCCGTTGAGTCAAATCCCACTTCTGTTGTTAGGTTCTGTCCCAGCCCCGTCTTGTCCCGTCTTTCCACTTCGTAGTTAGAAAATACAACGTTTCAATTATCTTGCATTTTCCATACGACTTCTGGCACAAGATACAAAAATCGTTCGGCACACAGCCCCTTCCAAACACCGCACACAGCGTCCAAACAAGAACTCCTCTCAGCCCGCCAGAAAACACCATTCCAGCCCCGACACGGGATTGGCCCAGAATCGACCACGCAACAAGTCTTGGCCAATCCCACCGCTACTACCATCCGATAGAAGAGATGGGCGCGGACAGTGGCGACGATTGAGTACCAAGTAGGCATAGGGATGGGAAAATAAACAATCTCTTCCTCCATCGACGTGAATGACGCAGCTCTAACGAATAACGGCGCAAACAGCTGCCAACCCGCTACCAAATTCAGTTTCCTCTATCGCTTACCCTCACATATAATATAATGAATAACACATGAAAAAGATACACAAAAATTAATACTTACCATGGTCAGAAGCATTTCTGGTCTTCAGTTCAAACATCCGCACAATGGACTCAAGACTTTCGATTTTGGAAACAGACTGTTTGACCTGTTCTTCATTGTGATCTTCAAGCTCAAACAGTTTCTGAAAAATACAATTTTGGCATTACAAGCAAATCAAAGGTCACACAAATGTCGTCATGACTCATGACAGCAGTAAAAAATGCCATAAGAAGCAGCACATCAGAACGACTCGATGGAATATGGACTGTGAATATGACCCAATCAAGATACTTTTCAATGAACTGATCTAGCATGATCAGAGTCTTCATGTTAGGCTGTAAGCTGTTAAGCTGAAACTGCAAAAACGCTAGTCACATCCCGCACATTAATGCGACTTCATATTACCTGTTCTGATGCTCTCCGAAGCTGCTTTTCTCGTTCATACTGTGTAACTAACTGTTCATTGTCTTCACGAAGGAGCTCCAGCTCAACTTCATGCTCTTGGTTTTCAGTATAAGCGAAATCAAGACTTTCCAAAATGTTGACCACTAGTGGCATAAGATTTTTTACCACATCTTCATCATATTTTGCAATCATACGTTCCAGTTCTTGGTAAACACTCCCTGCTAGGGATTGGACTTTCTCGCACATGACTACGTGCGAGTCTTCGTTCGAGTCGTACACAGTTTCTTGCTCCATTTCAATAACTTAATGTCTCGCCTAAATAATTAACATCACTGAGAAATAATTCACAGACTATGACCTAAAATCGACCACATTTTCCAACCATCTCGACCCCGAATGCAACTATCGATTTTACGCAACTTCACAGTTCACCATTCAGCATCACTTGTTTTGTGTTGGGTGGTGCGCCACATTAGGCAGCTGATGATAATGCACGCCGTAAATGTATCAGGTATGATTTGGTAGCACATGAAAAGTGAAAGTAGTACGTAGAGGATTTTTGGTTCTAGTCTTATGCTTGGTCTTATGCCACTAAATTAAGCTATACAAATATGCACGGAATGTTAATGCGGTTAACGCTATATCTGAGCAGAAAACGACGGGATTGGACGGGCTAGGTACCGACAACAACTGAAACTGATCCAAAACATAAACAAAGGACCCAGCGACGAGTCAGGCTCAGCTGAGCTCCATAAAAAAAAAACTGAACAAATTAACCATAATTTAACCATTTTGCCCATTGATAAGTCAGCGAGTAACCATTGAAACGGTGATAAGGATCAACATATTGAATGTTCATTGATCGAGCTAGGGTTTTTTGAGGGGGAGGGGAGACAATAGCTCAGAGTCGAAGCCTTTGTTGGAGTCGGTCGGAGTGAGTAGGTACTGAGCAGTCCCGACCGGAGGCGGTGTTGGAGTTGATTTTGGAAGCTGAAGTGGGAGTCGAGCCAGAGTTACCGAAAACACATCGACTCCACTGACATGCCAGGGCCCCGGAGTCGGAACTTGAGTTGAGTCAGAGGAGTCGGTCGGTGTCGACAGCTCTGTCCGGTGGTTTGCATCAGAGCGCCACCTACAGAACAAAAATACGGCTCCTGCCACCTGGTGGTTGCGTCCTGAACAGGCGAGAATGGGTCGATTGTTCTCTACTCCCGATATCCACTGTCTTAGGCATTAGCAGCCAGCCCCACGACTTATACAATCAGTCAGGGCTGCAGAATCAATGGATTTTCGGTGTTTCCAACTCCAAACGACTCCTGCTTCAAAAAATCAACTCCGACTCCGACAGCATAAAAAAATGAGACCGTATATAAAAAAATAAGACAGTGACCATCCGTGGTCCCTTTGGCCTTTTGATTCTATTTCAATTGAGCTCCATTGAATGGCAGGTACGGATTGTACACATTTTGTCTGTTTTTCTTAAGAAAAATCTGCCCTAAGTCTTTCGTCTGTCATCTATGACAGATTCGGAGACGCCTAGCTTGTGAACAGGCGTGCCAAATAAATAAAGCTTGAAACATGGTTAAAAGTTAATCTGTGGTTAATCTCATCCGTCCTTGCAGTTGCGTCCTCAGGGTTAGCACAACAGCACCCTCCCTATCACTACCATTTCTAGGCCAGCGGTTACCCTACCGGTACCCAGACTACCGATGTCCGATGGCGACAGTAAATGGCGACAGGAAGGGGGACACTGCCGACTTTTGGTCCCAAGTTCTTTCCATGCAACGCCCATGAAGGCAAAATCAAAGGGGGCACGGTGCCCCGGTCCCCCCCCCCCCCCGTTCCGCCGCCTATGGATGGTGAGGGCAAGTCTTTGCCTATGACCACACCCTCTCCGAGTGGCCTGATCATTTCATCGGCAGCGCGGGGTGTCCCATCGGCATATTTCCGTCCTACCGGAACGGTCTCTGTCGCTACGGCACATCGTCGGTGGTCCGCACAGTCCACTGTCTATGCCCTATCTTAGCCCATAGCTAGCTCTGCAATGGCCTCTTCAGGCCGAAAGAGCTTGCCCCCAATGAGCAACGAAACAAAAAAGTTAGGAAGGAGCCTCATTTTCACAATCGACGTATGTACCTAAGACAAGAGTGGCCAAATGTAAAAGAAAAATCTTGAGTTTGACCACAGAATTTCATTAGATGACAGCTTCAAAGCACACTAGCCAGTTACGCTCATTGCCTCCGCGTTCTAAATGAAATGTTCCCTTTAAATGTTTTACGAGTGCAGCACAAGTTCAGCGTTGGATAATAATTCAGGACCATAAACAAGCAAGTAACAAAATTAACAACAAACATGCTCCATTATTTATACCTAATCAAGATAACTTCTCCAGAGGTATAGGCAGTTGGGTACACCACTAAAGTCTAAGCGGAAAACACGTGCAAGACTCAAGAAGATGTAATTAGAGGCGAGCGAGACATCTACACAGTTATCGACCCGCATATTCTCCGACCTCCATCATACCACCTGTGCCTCACCCTCAGCTTTTCAAGACCCTCAAAGACATGGAAGTATGGCAAGCACTCATGGCAACCCCGTTTTTATTTAAGCAAATACCTTTACCTAATTAGTTATTTGATCATCGGGTAAAAAAACGGCACATAACGTAAGTTACAGGCAAAACTGCATGCATAGGTCAATAAAAACGGTTTATTGAATCATGGATGCATAAAACCGTTTCCCTATAGGGAGCCTTTGCTTTGAGATGAAGTAGCACCGCCTGGGGTCGAGCCCAATTTCATCAGTTTTGCTGAGCTGTAATGCACATTACGCCGACCTATCTGAGACATTTCTGAATTCTGACGCCTTTTGCCTCCGCAGTTTCGGCCCAGACCCGTCGGGAGAGCAGTGCTGAGGACGCGGAGAGCGGGGTGCCGCGTCCAGCGGCGCAATGCGGCGATTTATCAGCAGCGCCCGCCGCGCCGCGCGGCCGGACCCACAAATCACCAGGTCAACTATGCAGCGCGCCGCGCGCGGCAAAAAGGGCGCCAGCCGCGACCCGCTGCGACGTCTTTGTAGGCCGCGGCCGGCACAATGCGGTGATGATAAATAGTCGCAGGATGCCGAGTCGAGAAGGAGAGGACTTTTTACCGGCGCCGCGACAAGTTATGAGTGTATGTGGGCTATGGGGACGCCCGGCGGGAGGCCGGCAGACCCAGGGGTCACAGCCTCCTTATTGGTCACAGGTGACGTTCCTTAGAGGTCGTGGACGGCGTTCCTTGGAGGTCGCCGATGCCAGATGGGTCTCCCGAGGTTAAAAAGGGTAACCATTTGTTCAAACGGTTGAACCGATCATTGGTGGCTCATTGGCGGCTGTAGTCTCAAATACCATACCGATTAAATGCCCTCTGTTCCCAACAGCATGCTGAGCTGCCATTGTAATATACCTATGCAGAGGAGACTAAAGAATCAAAGAATTATGCAGTTGCATCAGGCCATTTTAATTAGGATATTTACACGCGTCATAATCAAACGCAAAGCTTGAAGAATTAAGGCATTCCTTGTCTAATTCTTTACTCATACACAAACAAAACGGAAAATACAAAAACAATTAGCGGTGGTCAGACATTGCACCTGATAGTACGGGAACAAACGCTTTCAAAGGGCTTTGTTAACTGTCGCTGGGGAAAACATGTGCAAGGCAACACAATTGTGCGTTGTTACGCACATGTTCGACTAGAAAATAAATGAATAACAGCGTCATCGCATCTTCGTCGTTCTGAGTCGACACTGCACCATTCGGAGCTACCATGGCCCAACAGAACCAGACGGGTCGCCGAGTCGTCAGACGGGGCCAGGGCCGGATCAGACCGTGTTTTGCCTGTGTTTGCACCGGCTCGCAAAGGACGGGACGGCATTCAGACGTGAATGCTTCGTTCGGCGGCTTAGAGTGGCCCAAGATGTTTTTGGCCGTCGGATAGGCCAGTTTTTGCCGATTTGTGAAATTTGGCACGGGTGAATGGATGCCTTGGTGTCCAGTACATTGCTATTGAGACCCGACTACAAGTGGTCGATGACGACAAAAGGCGGCGACGTTTTTGCTGTGCTGTCGGTGCGTGACCGGGATACGCGATATATTCACTGAAAGAAAAGTACACCTTGGTGGTATTTTTGGGTGATATTTGTAACCACTTAACACCACTTTCCAGACTATTTGTACCACCCTTAGCCGAAAATTCAGAGTTAAAAGATGACTAGGTGCATTTTTTACTCAACTTAGGTGTAATCCATCCAGTACTTTAGGGTTTTCTTGCAACTATGGTGTAATTTCAAGTTCTTATGTTTTTTACACCTCAGCTTATTGGTAGTAAAATTATTACCCAAGTGCATTTTTAATCCCATGCGGATAATAAATGGCTAGTTGGTAGCATAAATTTACACTTGCGTGGTTCAGCTGATTATCGCAAAACCTAAATGGAGTAAATTTACACTGTGGACTTGATAAGCGAGGGATTTTTAGGTGTGGTTTTATGCTACATGGTTATTTCAGTCTTCAGTGTTGTATTTTTACAGCTCGGGGCGTTATTTTACTATGGTGTTCCACGTGGCCAATTTATACCGCCATTTTGTACCGCCATTTTACCGTTTGTGTCGAAACTTTGAACTGGATGGATACATGGTGAAGCGTGGGGTGGCGTGCAGGTGAAGCGTGCAGTGTCTACTGGACGACCAAGACCGCGGCAAGCAGTGAACAACAAAGGTAAGACTTAAAATGTATCTTTTGGCCAGGATATTGCCTTATATTAAAGGGACTATTCCACCTTTAACATGGGGTTTGAGTTGAGATAGCCAAGTTTGCGGCGAGGTTCAGAAACCACTATCTAGGTATCTAAGGTTGCAACCCCCGCGGCCTCTTGGTGTTGAAGAAATTCGCTCCCTTCATTTGAAAATGGGCTTGTACAAGGCCCTATCTTCAACATAGAGCGACCGTTAGTGTGACGTCACCTCGTTTAGTCATTCTGATTTAAATGGGTTTGTTCGTTGAAAAATCGCTTAAAACTTGGTCTGAACTTTGTTGTGGTGCCTACAGAGTAAAAAGAATCAGATTTATGACAGTAATGTGGCCTGGGGAAGGAGGTAATTTTGGGCTGTGACGTCACATATTTGAAAGTTTGTGTTTGGAATATGGGAAGCCTAAGATGTTTAATGAAAAATAAATGCCAGAACCGTGTTCCTGGTCATCCAATCTATAAAGTCGGGCACAATTTAACTGGTTTTAACAACATTTTAGAAGGTGGGATAGTCCCTTTAACCCATTTTTGGTCACAGTGAAAGTGACTTGCTGGTCAGACTGACCATTATCAATTTACAGCCAAAAAATGTGATATAAATAGTTTTCCTTCTATTTTTCGCTGACAGCTGGGGTCTTTCTTACTTAGCTGGGGCCTCCTGTGA